CGCCGCCGCGGACCCGCCTCTGGCGCCCGCGACGGTGCCCTGAGCCGCCGCGGACCCGCCTCTGGCGCCCGCGACGGTGCCTTGCGCCGCCGCGGACCCGCCCCTGGCGCCCGTGACGGTGGCCTGAGCCGCCGCGGACCCGCCCCTGGCGCCCGCGACGGTACCCTGGGCCGCTGTGGATCCGCCCCTGGCGCCCGCGACGGCGCCTCTGCTTCACCTCGCGCCTGCCTTCGAGCAGCCGCCCCAGCCTCACATGCGCCTGCACTCGGTGCAGCCGCCCCTACCCTACCCGCGCCTGCCCTCGGTGCAGCCGCCCCTGCCCTTCCCTGTGCGCCACCCCTCTGTGGACGTGGGGCGGCTTCTTCCCCGCCACCCCCCCCCGCCCTCCTCCTTCTTCTTCCTGCTGCGCGTGCAGCCGTGGGGGGGAGGGTATGGAGGTGGCGGGTATGGGGGTGTGGGTGTCTGTGATCCCCTTCCCCTCCTCCTCCTTTCGTTCCCACTGCTGCAGCTGCCGCTGGGGGGAGGGTGTGAGGGTGTGGGGGAGCCAAGGGAGTGGCATGTGGGTGGCGGGTGTGACACCATCCAACCCCCCGTCCCTCTGAGGTGGGTGGGGGGGGGGGGGGGGGGGGAAGGAGAGTGAAGGAGTGGCAGGAGTGCCTGCCCCTTTGCTGTTGTACCTACTGTGTTACCTTGCCTGCTGTTGCTGTTTTCTCTGTTCGAGGTGTACCCCTGCAGGGTGTGTTCTGCACTTAGCTATTCCTGCATGCAGTTACGGGGGGATGTCAGAATTATGTTGTTATAACTGCATGTAGGTCTAGCGTTAGTGTAGTTATCTTGATATCCTGCTTGGTGGTGTACCCCCCCCTTATCTTGCCCTATATGTTGTGAACCTCTCCATAGTGAAATCATTCATTCTCCAATTCTCACTTCTCTGCTTGGCACAAACTCCCTCGACTCCCTTGGCCTAGGCTACTAAGCCTAGGCCCTCACTTAAACCTAACTACCACTTGTGCCACTATTTTAACAGCGACGACCCGACCACATGGGAACAACAATTGCCACTCATCGAATTCGCATACAACAACTCGCCATCCGCCACGACCCAACAGTTACCGTTTTACCTGGACTACGGACAAGACCTTACAATACCGATGACCCCGAATCCCGACAACCCAGTACCACACGCGCAACAGTTCGCATAAATTTTACAAGCAGCACGGACCCGAGCAGCAGACGCGATAAAAAAAATCAAACGTCATTGCTAAGCGCAACACCGACCGCCACCGCTGACTTGTCAGTTACCAACCAGACGACCTCGTCTTACTCGACACCTAGAACCTCCGCCTGCCCATCACCCCAAAACTCCGCCCCTGATATTGTGGGCCATTTCGTATCAGCCACATGATCACCCCCGTCACCGCCTACCTCTTCCTCCTTGCTTACTGGTACGTCAGCCCGTCATTCCACGTCAGCCTCCTCCGCCCATACATTCCATCCACCAGCCAACTGCCTCGCAACCACCCGAATAGCATGACACGACCGCCAACAGAGCCAATCATCACGCCCGAAAAAATACTAAGCCATTGGGTACATGACCCACGTGGAGTCCGCAGAATCGAATTCCTGATTCGCTGGAAAGACCGCACTCCCACCGAAGACAACTGGGCCCCCCTGGGCAGAATTGAGAACCACCCTGTCCTCACCGAGTACTTGTGCAGCCGCAATTTTCGGGATGTACACGCGTTTTCGTAAGGAAGGCCGGGGTAGTGTAAGGAAATTTCATTTTCCTTACTTCGCATCCCTGCTCAGCGCGTACACCATTGTTCCCGCCAACAACTCTCAATAGTGCACCGTTACCACTCGCGACACACGCCTCAACCACTGTTCCCGCCACTGTTCACGACGCGACCCAACCTCACGGTTCGGTTGGTAACCCGCGCTCCGGACCTCCGCCTCGACAAATCCCAGCCTCGGCGTTAGGCCCGTAGCGCACCTCATTTTCCCACATTACCGTTACCAATGTAGCTTTGCTATATATTATTCGCTCATGCCTTCGCTTGATGTATTGTTTTGCTTCGATAGTGCAATTCTCGCTAGCTCGCTCAATTGCACTAGTAACACCTTCTAAAACCAGCTGTTTTCAGGAAGAGTCCACAAGTCCTGGACCCATTAGACTGTACGTATTCTGCCCAAACCGGGATTGCGCGGGGAAAACTCCCCAAACTAGGCACGGGACCTGATAATCAGCCTCTGAGGACAACCACACCAAATTCTGTTTTTGCTTGGTGTAGTTCGTTTGTACACTGTACAGAACTGTACTCCATGAATGACACCAGGGAGAATATGCCACAAGTAACCAACTTGGGACTCGATAACGTGAATGGTTAAAAAAAAACGCGTACGGTCACTGTATCGGGTTTTCTGACGGGTTTGGTAAGCGGGGTCACGGATTCAGTCACTAACAACAGGTAAAAAATCACGCGAATTGTCACACATGTAACTCCCGCCAAAAAAACTTGAAACTCAACAAAATTCCCGCTCGCGCCCAACCAATCTGCGAACTTGTAAAAAAACTAAAACCCAATCGGAATCGGATGCGGTTTGGGAACGGATCAACCCTAAACACCTTGCGAGTTACGTGTTTAGGGTTGATCATCCGAAAATGCATCCAGGTTCTTTCTGGGTTTCATTTTGTTTTGGGGGGAGTTTCATCTGTGACCATTCGCGTTTTTTTTTACCAGCTGATTGTGACTGATTCCGTGAAACGCTTTATCAGTCGCGTGAAAACACCCTTTGCAGTGACCGTACCCTTTATTTTTTTACCAAAAATGTTTTCGAGTCCCATGATGGTTACGAACGGCATATTTTCCCATGACACCACCACACATCAGGCGAACGACAATACAGTAATGTACCCACAGTCTAGCGTCACTGGGCCGTACACACCTCTCGATCGAGTGTTGCTGGCGGTTGTTGGGCGTACTGTAACGTAACGGGTTTCTTTCGTTTTCGCGTGGAGCAAACCTGTACTGTAGCCCGAATGTCGACGGTACAACAGTGTAAACTTACCCAGAAACCTTTGGACCCATTGCTATCGTTTCATGTTTTTGGACTCTACCGCCCAGTCCTCCTGTGTAGAGGCCATCTGGCCCTCACTCCCTCCCAAGCAACCACCCCACCCCCCCACCAACCCGTCCCCCACTTTGTCCCGTCCCTCTCCCCTTGGACCACCACTTCCCCCCTCAACCCAACATTATCCCGCCCGCTGTCCCCCAATTCCCCCCTCCCGCTACCTCGCTGTACTGTAGAGCAGGGTGTATTTCCCCCCGTCCCCCTCTGCCCCCTGCTTCCCCTCGGGCCGTCCGCATCAGAGAATGCTGCTGCGCGGAACAACAAATGCTGTTCGTCCCTCTTGCTTCTCTCAGTGTCCTCCCTCTCCCTCCCCTTTCTGCTGTCTCCCACATCCAGCCGCCATTTCCCACTCTCGCACCCGACCAGCTTTATCCGTCGCGAATCTATCCGCTTCTCTACATTCGTGTCCTTCTCCCGTTCGAAATATACACGTGAAGCGTTCCCGCGAAGCTCTCTAGGTAGGAGATAGCGTCTCGTGAATCGCCTTTTGAGCACGATGTGCGGCGCCGACTAGTGTCATCCATTTTCCAGATTAAGACTTTTCAACAAGCTACGATTTTTTTTTTCTTCCTCAATACCTGATTGACATCCTCGCTTCCTTACATTGCGACTTCCTAATGAACGTATCCGAAAAAGTGCCTGTACTTCCTAATGGCCACCTTATGAGGATCTTATAGACTCATCGTTCCTGCTTTCGACATTCGCCAGACGAACGCGAACTAGACCATTCTTCGCTTTCCTAGAGCACGCTACTAAGAACGGGAGCCATGCACCTCTTACGGCTATCAACGCCGCGTCAAAGATTTCGGCGGTCATTGCAGAGAGAACTTTCCTTGTGCGTTCACGTAACGCCAGTGCGATGCTCGAGCCGTACCTTGTACTCGCTTTCACGACCTCCTTACCTCTCATGCCAAGCTAGCTGCTAACAGCTTGGTAACAACAAGATCCGTTTCGAGACTTCGCTGGTAGAGCTATGCGTCTCCCATCTCGTCATTAAGCGCGTCACCGCCACCATCATCGTAACCCGCTTCGCCATTGTCTCGTCACCAGCACCGTCATCGCCGTCGCCATCGCCATCGCCGTCGCCATCGCCATCGCCGTCGCCGTCGCCGTCGCCGTCGCCATCGTCATCGCCAACGTCTTACTCCTGTTTCCTCCGAACCTCGCTTCAGAGGAACACCTACCACGGCAACAAGAATACGCCGCTTTCCCCCTCTTCTCTCCCTCTCGCTCTCTCTCTTTCTTCCCTCCTCCGCTCTTCCTTCGCCCTGGGTATACCTTCCAAAAACGCGTTTACATGACACGTGCGTTAAAGTCATAACCGCGCAGTCATGTATAAGAACATCAACCAGCTCCTTACCCCCAAAAGCCAGCGCCGCCCGCGGGGTTCCGCCCACGAGGCGGATGGCGCGGAGTCCCCGGGCGCGGGGAGAGCTGACGACGCGGACGGGGATAGCAGTGGTGGCGGAAGCGGTAGTGCGCGGAGCGGCATTCCCCCGCTTGGCAACGACCAGAAGCAACGGCATCGGTGCGCGGTCACCTCCCCTTCCGCCTCCCCCGGTTCGTCCGGATCCCACAGTAACAGCAGCGCCAGCGGCGGCGGAAGCAACAAGCACGGCAGCAGCAGCAGCAGCAGCAGGCGCATCGGAACTCCGCTCGCCGCACCCTCCAGCCCCGGATGGCGCATGCCCGGGGGCGCTCTGATGAGCCCCGGGCGCGGGGGAGCCAAGGGGAAGAGCGTAGGCGGAGGGGGAGCGGGAGGGGGAGGGGGAGACTCCGCAAAATGGTCGTTCGGGCTTCAGGACTCGTCCTCCCTACGATTAGGCTCACCGTCCCTGATAGGCCTAGGCGACGGGCAGCTGAAAAAAATGGTCAAGCGGATGTTTCCGCCCCATCCGGGAGGGGGATTCAAGGGGTTCTGGGGAGTGGGCGGCGGGGGAGGGGGGAGCGTGGGGAGTGGAGGCGGGGCTGGGGGGGGAGGAAGCGGGGGGAGTGTGAAGACGGAGGTACTAGCGTTTGAGATAGGCAGTGTGATGAGACGGTCTTTGGAGATATATGACTGCATGGGGGAGAAGACACTGGCCTCCCTTCGATCCAACCTCCAGGTAAACGACCGGCACGGTAGTTTTGAGACGTCTCAACACAAGTAAATGACGGGATTGGATAGTCGAGTGGATGGATTTCATTTGCCACCTCTTGTTGTTCTCTTGCTCTCTGCTCCTCGTTCCTGCGTTCCGCCTTTCGCCCCTCTATTCGTCCCAAGCCTGATCACATTGCCTTCAAACCGTGTGAGGCATCATCCATGGAAGTCGTTCACCCGCGTGCTTTTCTCCTCTCCTTTCCTCTCCTCCCCGCTCCACTCTCCTCGCCTCTCTGCGGTGCTGTGCGGTGTTGCAGGCACCTGGAGTGGTCACGCTCATCTCAAGTGACCTCAGACTGCTCTGGAACCTCGCAGGTACGCCCTGCCGTTCTTTGCCATGCCACGCCATATCCTTTGCACTACAAACGAAACCACTTTTCCTGTCTTCTTCACCACTCTACTACTTTCCTTCCCCTCCTTCCCTCCCCCTCACAACCTCCCCCCTTCTCCCCCCTTCCACCATTTCCTCCCCGCCTCCTCCTCCCCTTCCCCCGTCCTCGCCACCTCCCCTCCCTGCCCCGCAGGGGTGGAGAAGCTGTTGGAGCTGCAGCGGGTGGCGGCGCGAGTGGCAGTGCTGGGGCGCAAGTGCCGCAGTGTGCGCCTGCACACGCTGGGGGACCTCTTCCCGCTGCTGCTCTCCCCCGACTCCGACCTCTCGCACTTTGCCGTCTCCCCCGCTGAAACCGACGCCCTCATCAAGTATGTGCGATGCGATTGCCCTAGGGGAGTCGATGGGAGTTCTGGGAAGCTGGACAATTTGGAGGACTAGTCGACGGGGGTTCGATTAGGATTTGTACTGCTTCTCCCACCCGCCCGCCTGCACTGCACCCGCTCATTCTGCATCTTTGGATGTGGATGGTGCGTTGTTGTGTGTGGGGCATGGCATGTGCTGCATATGCGTGCGTGCATGGGATGGGATGCATGACAGGTTCATGAGGGAGCAAGCGGAGGCGACAGAGCGGCTCAAGTCAGAGATGGAAGCCATTCAACAGCTGCACCACCGGTGACCATGCACACTCACACACATGCACGCACATGCACACTCACTCACATGCACACTCACTCACATGCACACTCACTCACATGCACACTCACTCACATGCACACTCACTCACATGCACACTCACTCACATGCACACTCACTCACTTGCACACTCACTCACATGCACACTCACTCACTCGCACACAAGACACACACACGCGTGTGCAGACACACATTCGCATACCCCTCATGATCCATCCATGCACATGCGCAATCCAACAATCTTTTCTCTCCCGCCTGAGTTAACTCCTCCCTCCTCCCTCGCCTTTCTCCATCCCGACCTCCCATCCTCTCTACCAGTCCCCTCTCTCTGTCTCACTCCCATTCTCTCAGCCGTCCCTCTTCCCCAATCCGCCTCTCAACGTCTCCTTCCCTGCACAACTCGCTTCTTCACCCCCATTCCCCTCGTCCCTCTCGCAGTTCCCCTCTGGCGGTATATGTCTCCTCCCTAACCAGCTCGTTGCTTCCTCCCTTGCTGCGCTTCCTGTGGCAGCATTCAGGAGTACGGAGAGTGGAACAAGCTGCAAGACATGGTAGCACAGGTATGGAACGGTGGCGCAGGTATGGCATGCTGGCTCAGGTACGGCATGGCGGCGCAGGTACGGCATCGTGGCTCAGGTACGGCATGGTAGGCCCGTTGTGTTTTCCCGACCCCGCTCCTCCTCCCCTTCCCACGCTCCACTTTTTCCCTCGCACTTGAGAGCCATGCTGTGACGTGATCGCATGCCCATCAGATGCCTCACCTGCATCATCACCCTCCCTCCACACCTTAGGCAGGCACTTCGCAATTCGCCCAGCCACCCGCCTTCACCTACTCCCTTCATCCCCCATTCAGACCCCCTTCACTTCACCCACCCTTCATCCCACTCCACGCGCCCTTCACTCGCCCTTCATTCACGCCCCTTCCACCCGTCCGTCATCCACCGTTCATCCCCCTTCCGCCCGCCCTTAACACGCCTTCCCTGCCCGTCCCTCTCCCCTTCCCTTGCCCCCTTTGTGTGTGTGCGAGCAGGGCAAGTCAGTGGAGAAGCTGCAGTCGCACTGCCTCTGGTCCTTTGACCTCGACTATCTGCTGCAGGTACCACCTCCCGCCTCACACCTCCCACCTCCCACCTCCGCAACCACTGCTCCAAAACCCACTCCTGCACCTTCCCTCTTCGCCCTGCCTCCGCCCCTGGCTCCTCTGTCTTTCGTGCCTTCCCCCTCGTCCTGTGCCACTTGTCCTCCTTTCCCCTTGCCCTGTGCGCCTTAGCCCATGCCCCTTTGCCCTTTGCTCCATGCCCCCTGCCTCTTGCCCCATGCCCCTTTCCTGAAACCCCCACACACATGAACCATTTCCCCGTGCCCCCACTCCCCATCCCCGTCCCCCTCTTCCCCTGCCTTCCCTCCTCCCCGTTCCCACCCCCAGCTGCTAGTAGCCGCCCTCTGCTTGATCCGCCGGCGTATCTTCGCCTCCTTCGGCCCGCCGCCCTCCTCCACGTCCCCCTCGGCGCCGTCGCTAACAGTGGGGTCGCTGGGCGCGTGGGGGCTGGCGCTGCATTATGCCAACGTGGTGGTGCTGCTGGAAAGGATTATTCAACTGCCAGATGCTGTTATGGGACCCACCAGGTGCGAGTACTAACACATGCTGGGGTAGGGCTGTATGGCATGGTGGTGTGGCAGTATGGGCTAGCGCTGCACTATGCCAACGTGGTGGTGCTGCTGGAGAGAATCATCCAGCAGCCCGACACGGTTATGGGACGGGACCCACCAGGTAGGGTGGCATGGCACGCTGGCGTCATGTGCCTCTGTGTACGAGTTTTGTGTCGGGTAGGTCTGTTGACACGACAGCTGGTAGCACAAGAGCCTGGCGCTGCACTATGCCAACGTGGTGGTGCTGCTGGAAAGGATTATTCAACAGCCAGACGCCGTCATGGGTCCCACCAGGTGTGACAGTGCTGAGGCATACCAGGGTAGGGTTGTATGGCATGGCATTCAGAAGAAGCACCCAGAAAACATCCTGTTTGCTGTGTTGCGCAGCTGCTGCCGGTCTCCTTCAATCAACTCTAACCCAACCTCCCCTCCCCTCCAACCCCCCTCTCCCTGGCTCCCCTCCCTCCCCTCTCTCCCACTCCCCTGCACTATCCATGATCCCCCCAGGGACGAGCTATACGATATGCTACCGCGCAGCATACAGCATGCGCTACGCTGCCAGCTGCAGGACCCCGAGAACTTTCTCCCGGACGGGCGAGTGGAGGCGAACCTGAAGCGCGGGCTGCTGCTGCTGCCCACCATGGCGCACAACACCATCTTCTGGCAGTCGCTGCACACACCGGGGACCCTCATGGGCGCTGATGAAGTCGTCTTTCAAGTGCAGGTGGGTTGGGGGGATGGTGGGGGTGGGTAGGTGGGTAGGTGGGTGGGTGGGCGATCAGTTGCGAGGGTGAATGGCGTAGTCTTCTTTTGCTGTTTCCTAATCTCAATCACGCCACCATGCATCACTCGTGCACCGTGCCCACCCCCTTCCCGCCCACCACCACCAGACGTTCTAAAATGCATGCAAGGAGGCAGTAGACGCAGCTCTTATAGACGTGTTGCTAGGCCTGTGCCGCATCTGCGGTGTGCCATGCGTCAACCATACCTTCTCTTCTTCAAACCCACCCCTCCTCCCACTCTCCCTCCGTGCCCACCAGACGTTCTACTATGCGTGCAAGGAGGCAGTGGACGCAGCTCTCATAGACGTGCTGCTAGGCCCGTCCCACAGCACCATGGGCAGCAGCACCATATGTGCCACCCGTGCCCTCTCCAAACCCACCCTGCCCTCCGTCTTTCCTACCCCCTTCTTCCCCACCACCACCAGACGTTCTACTACGCGTGCAAGGAGGCAGTGGACGCGGCTCTCATAGACGTGTTGTTGGGTCTGTGCCGCATCTGTGGGGTAGAGGAGCCCATCTCAGGGCCCTTCGCGCCCTCCTACCCCATCCCCACCTCCCTCTCCTCCTCCAACCCCTCCTCCTCCTCCACCTTCTCTCCGCGGTCCCTCGACTCGTCAACAGCCAGCAGCGGCGGCGGGAGCTTTAGGAAGGGTGGGGGAGGGTATGGAGGGGCTGGGAGTGGTGACGGGATTGGGGGGTATGAGGAGACGGATGAGCAATTTTTGGCGAGGTATGGAGGGGGGGCGAGCAGGGTGGTTAGCAGTGCGGCTGTGGAGGGGTGGGGGGGTATGGTGGTGAAGGTAAAAGAAGACATGACAGAGAGGAGAGCATGGCGTTTGCAGCAGATAGAAGCGCAGGAGAAGGAGAGGGAGAGGGAGCGGGAGAGAGAGAGGGAGCTGGAGAGGGAGAAGGAGCGGGCGAAAGCGCAGAGGACGCGGGAGAAAGGGGGTTGGAAAGGGGAGAAGGGAGGGAAGAGCGAGAAGGGGGAGAAGGGGGACAGGCGTGAGTTTGTGGAGATGGGTGTTGGGGAAGGGAGGAGGGGCTCTGGATGGGAGGATGTTCCGAGAATACTCAGTTCGGGTGAAGGGGCAGGCAAGAGCACGAGAAGAACAGAGAGGAGGGACGGGAGAGACTCTGAAACAGCAGGGCAATATGAACATGGGCTGGGAGCAGCAGGGAGTGCAGACGATGGCAGAGGGGAAAGACGAGGCGAGGGGGGGGTTTTAGGTTTGGGAGAGAGAGGAGCGGGAGAGGGCGAGCGAGCAGAGAGGGGCGGGAAGGGGGGAGCATCAGGCAGAGGAGGAGCAGGTGGCGGGCAGACAGGGGCCGACTGGTGGGAGGCTGGGAAGGAGAAGAGCAAGAAGGGCGCAGGGGGGGGCAGTAGCAGTGGGATCGGGGGCGGGGGCGTGAGCACCGGTGGGGCCGGGGGTCCGGGCGGGGGTGGGGGTGGGAGGGTTAAGGCGGTGGCATTGGATACGAGCAACAGCGGTCGCATGTCCCGCTCGCCTCTGCGCATGGTCACTGCTGTGCTCTCCCGCAACCGTGCCGCCACCACCAGCAGCAGCGGTGCCGGCACTCCCGGCACTCCCGTCGGTTCCAGCAGCAGCAGCAGCAGGAGGAGGGTGTTTGTGGAGCGGAGTTGGAGCGAGGGAGGGGTGGTGACACGTGCAGATAGTGAGGAGCGGGGTGTGGTGCGAGTGAACAGTAGCGGGAGCCTGTGGGGCGAATCAGATGCGGATTTGGCTGCTGCTGCTGCAGCGGCAGCAGCATACGTTGCTGCTGGCCGGGCTGCTGCTGGTTATAGCGCAGGTGCTGGCCCTGCAAACGGAGCACATGCCGATGATGGCGCTGCTGGTGCTAATGGCAGCAGTGGGGCTCCCATTCCATGGTCGGAGTCTGATCCCGTGGTGCAACTACCAGCTCTAGAAGACCTCAAACACACCATGCTCGCCTCTGCCGCTGCTGGAAAAGCCGGTGCCACGTCTGGGGGCAGCAGAAGGGGCGAGAGGGAGAGCGAGAGGGAGCGGGGGGGCGTAGGCGGGGCAGAGGGAGCAGGGAGACGGCGTAAGGTGCAGCGGAGTGTGAGCCTGAGTGGTACGGCACTCAATCTTGCTGCTGATGCTGTTACAAGCAGCCCCGCCCCTGCCACTCCAAAGAGGGGCTTCTGGAAAGGGGGGAGTGAGAAGGAGCGGCGGAGAGACAGGGGATTGGATTTGGATCATGTGTATCATGGGCAGCCGGTTGGGACTCCTCGCGTTTCTGGCCGGCGAACGGTTGGGGAGGGAGAAGGAGGCGCAGGAGGAGGGAGGAGTGGGGGAGGGGAGGGGAAAGGCGTTCGGTCTGCGGCGTCGGCAGCTGCGGCGGCTGCGGCTGCAGCGGCAGCGGCAGTGGCAGCAGCAGCTAGTAAAAGCCCGCTTACTGGGGTAAAGGCGAAGAAATGGAGAGATCGGCTGGTGAGAGGGTCGTTTGGTGGCGGCGCTGACGGGGCTTCTGCTGCTGCTGCCACCGCTGCTGCTGCTGTGGAGGCACCTGAGGAGGAGGAGGAGGAGGAGGAGCGATTTGGTGGGGAAGCAGCACTGCAGGATTATGGGCACGGGGATGGAGAGGGAAGAGCGGGAAGGGAAGGTCTGGAGGGGAGAGAGTATGGATTGGGTGGTGGTGAGTATGGTGATGGGTTTGGGTTTGGTGGGAATGATAAGCATGATGGTAATGCTGGTGGTGGTGGGGTAGGGGATTATGATGATGATGACGACGATGTGTGGGGCAATCTCAAGGCACAAAAGAAAAAGGGAGCAACATAGCAGCGCGCGCAAGCGAAGCCAGTCATTGAACCGCAAATCACTGGCATTTTCAACATGAAACAAACACCTTACCCTACAGAAGCAGTGTGGTGGGGGGGGGGAGGTACAAGTGTCCCCTCCTCTCCGTGTTTACAATGGTGCATCATCTCAATTTCTCCCTTTTTTGTATTAGTGTTTATTTTCAAGAGAGCATCCGCTCTTTGCAGGTGCTGCATTGCATAGCTTTGTGTTTGACAATAACTGCTTGCCTTGCTCTTTGTGTAATTGTGCTCATTCTCCTAACATAACTGTATTTTATTGCAACCGAATTTACAGCAGATGTATTTGAATATTGAGGCCACTGGGCACTCTCGTCTGCTTATGGGTGTAAGGAATTTTCCGGATTCCTTACTGGGTCACACTGTACGCGTACAACCCCGACTTTCGGTAAACCAGGCTCGGCCCGCCGACCTCGCCTTCCGAGCCACCACCGCGTCGCTTTCGGGTTTTCCAACCCCGAACCTGCACCCAACCATCTCGCGACCCCGCGACCTCGGCCTAGCTAGCCTTGCTATATTGTGCCTAGGCCTCGTTGTTCATTCAGACGTTGTAATCACTTCCGCATTATTGAGTTCTGCGCACTCTTTCCTTTCACAACTTATAACACTTGGTATCAGAGCCTAAAGTCCTAGGTTACCCTCGCGTTTCCGGGGTAGTTTGTAGAAGGGGAGCGATAGACTTGGTGGGCTGTTAAGCGGTCGGCCCGTGGAATAGATCTGATTATTCCACTCCGACTACGATAGCATTAACGCCTTCACCGAAGTCAGAAAAATCGCGAGCCACCCCCTGCCCGTTCGACGAAGCCTGAGGCACATGGAGCTGGCCGAGTTCAACGAGTTCATGCAACAGTTCCGTGCGATGCAGGCCAACTTGCAGGGTATGACTGCAGAGATGGAGCGTCTACGGAAGGAAAACGCCGAACTACACCAGGCGCGTGGTGAAGCGCGCCAGGAGTCGCCTGTCGTGGACGACGCAAGTAGCAGCACTACACCAGATGAGCGGGTCTGGAGCGAGCTGGAAGGCGAGATGGATGCGGACGAAGCGAGGCAGGCGCAGCAGGAACAGTCGCCACAACAGTCGCGTGCAGTACCACCACGTGCAGCAGCGACGACGACGGCGACGCCAGCAGCAATGCCAACGGCCCCGATGGCAGCAACGGCTTTTGTGAAAATCAGGCCGACAAACCCGCCCCCGTTTAACCCGAGTGACAAGTTTGTCACTGTTTCTGCATGGTTGTTCGGTGTGGAGGTGTTCTTTAATGCTGCTATGATTTATGACGACGCCACCCGCATTAATTTCGCAGTTTCACTGTTGCGAGGACCTGCGCTGGAGTGGTGGAGGCGAACGCTGCAACACGAAGGGACTTCGGCAGGAATAGCACGTGCGAACGACGGGACTTCAACACCTGTCACGCATCAGGCAGCATCGATTTTCGGGACGGCCACGATACGCACATGGAAGGAGTGGGGCGCCGCCTTGCGAACCAGATTCGAGCACGTATCCGCCTCGGACTCTGCTCGCATGCAGCTGCGTACCTGGAAGCAGCTGACTTCAGTCCAAGACTACACCAGCAAATTCTGCAACTTGGCGGACCAGGTGGACGACATGAGCGACGCGGAGCGGTTGGATCGCTACGTGGCGGGCCTGAAATACGAGATACAGTACGAGGTCCGACGAACCCGGCCACGCAGCTTCAACGACGCCGTCCGGGAAGCCGAGTCAACGGATGCGCTGATGCAGTGGGCGAGATCGAGCTCCCGGGAGGGCCCTCGATTTCGTGGACCGACTCAGCAGCCCACGATCAACGGCGTGGATGCACCTAGCCGAGCCCTTGGGCCGTGCTTTTTATGCAACCAGCTGGGCCACCTGAAAAAAGACTGCCCGAGGCTTAAGCAGGGGAAGAAGAACGACGGAGAAGGGTCGGGAAAAGATACGAGTCAGTAGCAGACGGGCCACCTACTGACGAGACCCTGTCGCCCGACAATCACCATCCACACCGGGTCGTGGTACCGATCAGCGCTATCGACCAGAACCGGACGAATAACGTGGGTGAACACGTGGACTACCCTGTGCTGGTGGTAGGGAGGGTTAACGGTTATAAAATTAAAATCTTCGTTGACGGTGGGGCGAGCCACAGTCTCGTCAACCTGGCAACGGCCAAAAAAATGGGGGTGAAGCTGACCAGGTGTCTGCCAGAGATCGATGCAAGGTTGGTGGACGGGACACCGCTGGCCATCCGAGATGAGGCGCGAAAAAATCGGATACAGTGCGGCGACAAATTCGGGTTTGGCATGAGGATGTTGGCGACGACGTTGGACGGCTGCGATGTGCTGCTGGGGAGGGATTGGCTGCAGCGCTTCAATCCGACGATCGACTGGACGACTGGGGCGTGCGTCGTGCGAGGATACGGAGGGAAGACGACGCTTCCGAAATGGACGGAGCCGGAGCCGGTGACGACACGTGTCAACGCGGTCAACATGCAGCGTGCGATGAACAGCGGAGCTCAGGCCTTCGTAGTGCACCTGTACGAAGTGGCAGCTTCCGAGAAAATCGCGGACATCAACACCCTCTGCGCGGCAGTCCCCGAGGAATTGGCGAGCATTATTCGGAAGTATCCCGAAATTTTCGCGGATGACCTCCCGGATGGTTTGCCCCCACAACGACCTGAGGATCATCGGATCCAGCTGGAGCCCGGCGCGCAACCTACTGTGCAGACACAGTGGCGGCTCAGTCAACCAGAACTCGCCGAGTTGCGGGCCCAGCTGGATTACCTGCTCGCCAAGGGATTTATCCGGCCCAGCACGTCGCCGTATGCAGCACCGATACTGTTCACGCCGAAGAAGGACGGTGGCCTACGCATGTGCATTGATTATCGGGCGCTGAATCGGGTCACGATAAAGTCGCGTTACCCGATCCCGCGAACCGACGATCTGCTGGATCAACTTCGCGGAGCTCGGTATTTTTCGAAAATCGACCTGCGAGGAGGCTACCACCAAATTCGCGTATTCGCCGACGACTGCCCGAAGACCGCTTTTCGCACACGCTACGGCAGTTACGAGTTCACAGTGATGCCGTTCGGCCTGACAAACGCGCCCTCGACGTTCCAGCTCACCATGAATGGAATTTTCGGGACATGCTGGACAAGAAGGTCATCGTGTACCTGGACGATATCCTGGTGTACAGCGCGACAAAAGAGGACCATCTGCGGGATTTAGAGGAGGTGTTCCGGCGTTTACAGGGGCATCGGCTAATTACAAAGGGGTCTAAGTGTGAGTTCCTGAAGCCTGAATTATAGTTTTTGGGGCATGTGGTTTCTGGCGAAGGAATTAAAATCGACCCGCGTAAGGTGGACGCCATCGTTAAGTGGAAGCCGCCTACTAATATCCCTGAGTTGCAAAGTTTTCTGGGGTTTGTTAACTACGTTCGTCGTTTTGTACCCAATATGGCAGGGATAACCAAGCCGCTGACCGACCTGCTGCACCACGACAGTGATTTCAGGTGGGGGGAGAGGGAGCAATCCGCCTTCGACGCCCTCAAAAACATTTTGGGTTCACCCCCGGTACTCCGCCTCGCCGATCCATCTCGACCGTTCGAAGTCGTCACGGACGCCAGCGATTTCGCCGTCGGCGCCGTCCTGCTACAGGACTTCGGCCAAGGGCTGCAACCCATCGCCTACGAGTCACGCAAGATGCAGCCACCTGAGCGCAACTACCCAGTCCACGACAAAGAAATGCTGGCCATCGTCCATGCATTTCGCGTCTGGCGCTGCTACCTCACAGGAGCCGACGTGACGATTCGGACCGACCATAAATCGCAACCGACACTCAACCCGCGACAAATCCGGTGGTTGGACTTCCTCGAATCCAATTTCCGGTACACCATCACGTACAAAAAGGGCGCCAACAACATCGCCGACGCCCTTACCCGACCATCCATGCAAAACGCGGCGGTACTAATCGCCCACACCAACCCGATGCTAACAGGACTATTCACCCACGACTACAAGATCGACAGGTTTTTTCGGAACCCGCAACAACAGGCTGCTACACCGCACGGCAAATACTACCTAAAAACCGGTACGAACCGGATTTGGGTACCAGCATACCAGCCTTTACGGGAGCTGCTGACGCAGGAGGTTCACGACTCCAACCTCTCCGGGCATTTCGGCACCGACAAGACACTGAAGCTGCTGCTGCGGAATTATTACTGGCCGGACATGCAGACCGATGTGCAGCGCTACGTGTCAACTTGCCCGACCTGCCAAGCAATGAAGTCGTCGCGACAAAGGCCAGCCGGACTGCTGCAACCCCTCGCGCCACCCGAACGACCGTGGCAACAGGTGACGATGGATTTCGTCACGGGGCTCCCAGCTGGCACGAGTGGCAACGACTCGGTGTTGGTCGTCGTCGATCGCCTAACGAAGATGGCGCATTTCGCCCCATGCCGAACGACGATCACAGCCGAAGATACAGCCGAACTGTTCATCTCCACCGTCGTACGCCTACACGGGTTACCTTCGGCGATCATCAGCGATCGTGATCCGAAATTTACGTCGAAGTTCTGGCAGGAAACGTGGGCACAGTACGGTACCCGCCTGCAGTTTTCGTCGTCATACCACCCGCAAACCGACGGACAGACGGAACGGACAAATCAGACCATGGAACAGCTGATTCGCACCAACTGCCCCGACATTCGCAAGTGGGAAGATTCGCTGCCGATGCTGGAATTCGCGTACAACAACGCCCCGTCGGCCACGACTAAACAATCACCCTTCTTCCTGAATTACGGGATAGACCCCGTGGTACCCTCTTCAACGACTGTGGACAACCCGGTACCAAGATCGCAGCAGTTTGTCACGGAACTGCAAACCGCCCGAACGAAAGCAGCCGATTTCATTCGCAAGGCTAATACCACGGCCAGTCGCCAGGCGGATAAACACCGACGAAATTTACCCTTCCGCACAGGGCAGGTTGTACTTCTAGACACCAAGAACCTTCGGCTGCCGCAGCCCGCGAAATTACGGCCCCGATACGTGGGACCATTCCGTATCATCCAGATGGTGACACCTGTCACCGCGAAGCTGCTGCTGCCCGACGATTGGAAAATCCATGACGCCTTCCACGTCAGCCTGTTGCGTCATTACGAACAGCCGCAGTCGCCAGCTGTTGCTCGACCAACCATCGCGCCGACCACTCGCCCCGTGGCAGAGCCAACGCTGGAACCTTGGAAGATTCTTAACCATCGCGTGGATGTGACTGCCGCCGGCCGCTCGGTGAAATTCCTGCTTCGCTGGAAAGACCGCACGAGCGAGGACGACACGTATGTCGCTGCTGATTCGCTACTGGGACACCCGGTTTTGGACGCTTACCTGGCCCGCCGAGGTGTTTCGGATATTCACCACCTTTCTTAAAGGGGGGGGTAGTGTAAGGAATTTTCCGGATTCCTTACTGGGTCACACTGTACGCGTACAACCCCGACTTTCGGAAAACCAGGCTCGGTCCGCCGACCTCGCCTTCCGAGCCACCACCGCGTCGCTTTCGGGTTTTCCAACCCCGAACCTGCACCCAACCATCTCGCGACCCCGCGACCTCGGCCTAGCTAGCCTTGCTATATTGTGCCTAGGCCTCGTTGTTCATTCAGACGTTGTAATCACTTCCGCATTATTGAGTTCTGCGCACTCTTTCCTTTCACAACTTATAACAATGGGCGTTTGTTTGTTGCAATGGTCGAATCCGTTTTGCTCAAAACTCTAGAATAGTTTTGAGCAAAGTGCGCACCTCCACAAATCTAGTCACCGTAGCTGTAATCGAGTTACTTAAACCGAAATAATGGGTTTCCATCTCGCCATCTCCTCCCCTGAATCCTGCGTGCCGCCAAGACTATCCTCCATCAACTCCACATTCCGCGCAAAAAAACAACTTTCCATTCCGCAAATGGCGGCGAAAGAAGAGAATGCTGGCGACGCGACGGATCCAGAGCCAATGACAGGAGAGGTGCTATTCTGCGGCTCAACGGATTGGCAGACGATCGGTCGATCAGAGAACAAGACCAAGAACAAGGGCAAAGCCGCCGAGGACATCCGATTCCCGCTCCTCACCGAGCCGCACCGACTCGCACCGCTGAAAGACGTTCGGATCGTTTCCGTCGCTACTGGCTGCGGTATGCTTTGGCGTTCGGGGAGGGACCCGTAATGCTGTTGGCGGCGTTTTTTGTAGTATTTTGAAAGGAACGCTCGCAACAGGAGCTGTAGTGCGTTTGACGTGTAGCAGCAGCAGCAGCAGCAGCGGGAGATCCTCCTTTGGGCAGCCATGAAGCTGCGGGAGATCCTCCTTTGGGCAGCCATGAAGCTGCGGGAGATCCTCTCGGTCTTTCCTCTCGTCTCGCGCAACGGTCACTGCGTTGACTCGCTTTAGACTCTGCAGCCAGCCATGCAATGCAATGCAATGCAATGAGAGGACCCGAAACTGGTTAGAACGTGAAAAAGATCGAGCGAATGTGAACGCGAGAAAACGTGAAGCTGAAAGAATGCGAGGAAATGTGAATCTGAGAAAGTGTGAGAAAATGCAGCCACCCTCACTTCGTCTCTGAAACTTCCAGTGCTGGTTTCCCCCCTCCGCTTGCTTCCAGCTCACGCCTTCCCCTTCTGCTTCCCCCCTCTTCCTGCCCCCCTCCTCCTTTCTCCCCAACCCCCCGCCCCACTCCCCGCAGCGGCGGCGCACTGCCTGGCGGTGGACGCGGACGGGCGCTGCTACTCCTGGGGGCGGAACGAGGTGGGGGGGGATGCGGGAACGGGGGGAAACGGGGGGAAACGGGGAAAGCGGGGAAACGGGGGGAAACGGGAGGAAACGGGGAAAGCGGGGAAACGGGGGGAAACGGGAGGAAACGGGGAAAGCGGGGAAACGGGGGGAAACGGGAGGAAACGGGGAAAGACGGGAGTGGTGGGGACGGCCTTTTTGGGGGTTAAGGGAGGAGAGTGTGGGATGGTAGCTTTTGAGGGGAGAGAGGGAGGGAGTGGGAGAGGAGGAGGGTGCGTATGTACTCGTGCTTTCGTGCACCCATGCGTTCATGACATATACACGTGTGTGTTCATGCATCCAGTGCGTTCCACTGTTGATAGATACGACCATAATGACATGCTCATGCCCGTGGTCTCCATGTGTTTGTGCATGTGTGTGTGCATGCATATGTGTGTGCATGTGTGCATGCATGCATGCAGTGCGGGCAGCTAGGGCATGGGCATCAAACGGATCTCAATCAGCCCACCATCATCGAAGCCCTCGCAGGGTGAGATGAGATCTAAGCACCGCAACTACCCACCACCTCTCACCCACCACCTCTCACCCACCACCTCTCACCCACCACCTCTCTCCCACCACCTCTCTCCCACCACCTCTCTCCCACCACCTCTCTCCCCGTACCCTGAGTTCTCTCACTTCACCAGACCTTCCCACCCCACTGCACGCACGCTTCGCAACCCCACTGCCACGCCTCTCCATGTCCGTCTGCTGTGCCAAGCGTCTCTTTCAATTGCGATTTCTGCAAGTCTTCTGGCAACCCAGGCACTTTCTTGAAATCCCTCGCCTCCCTGCCTCCTTACTTCCCTGCCTCTCTGGCTCCCTGCCTCTCTGCCCCCTCTCCTCCGCTCCTTACCCCCTTCCTGCCAGCAGCAAGAGAATAGTGGCCGTGGCATCGGGGCGCAACCATTCCCTTGCTGTGGCAGATGACGGCAGGTACGCACGCACACATGCATGTGCACATGCATGCTGGGGTGGCATTTCTTTCCTGGGGGAAGGGAGGGGGAAGGGAGGGCGAAGGGAGTCGTCTGAATGAGACGATCAAGGCGTTATTACTGCTTTGCGCACCTGGAACACCTACCCACGAGCCTTCCGCTCTCCTCCAGTAACAATCCGCTCTTGGATCGATCGAGAGACGCACCAGACCGACCAACCATGGCAACAGGCAACCAGTTTTCTTGCTTCGAAGCCATATTCTCGCTTCAAGTGACCTAACTTTCCATCTTCTCCTCCCTCTATTTTCTTCGCTCCCCCTCCACTCCACTTCCCCCACCCCACTCCTCCCCCCTCTTCTCCCCAACGCCCTCACGTGCTATCACCTGTATGCACTGCACACAGTGCCTGGGCGTGGGGCTCTAACAAGCACGGCCAGCTCGGCACGGGCTCCCTCAAAACAGGTCTCCCTGCCTTCCTCTCCTTCCTCTCCTCCCTCTCCTCGCTCTCCTTTCTCTCTACCCCTGCTTCTCCTTCTGCTCCCACTCCTCATCGCTTCATTTCCCCCACCTCCTTCACCTGCAGCTGTGCGTTGTTTCTCTCCTCATTACGTCTTTTGGACGTTCTAGAATAGAAACCGTTCAGGTTCTCTTCCTGTCCCTTGTTCTTCTCTTCTCACAATCCCTTTCCTCTTCCCGTCAGTTAAATCCCTACCCCCGCTCCTCCTCCCTCCCTCCCTTCCCCCCTCCCTCTATTTTCCCCTCCTCCCTCCCTTCTGCCGCTCCTCCCTCTTCCTCCTCAACCCTCTCCCCAATCCTGTCCGCACAGAGCACGAGAAAAAACCAGTGCTGAGTGCAGTGAAGCGAGTGCGGGCGGTGGCATGCGGGGGCGAGTTCTCCTGCTGGATCACGCACCCGGACCCTTCCACCACCACCGCTACCACCCCTCCTTCCAACGATGCCACCACCACCAAAGCAGCAGCAGCAGCAGGAGGAGGAGGAGCGGGTGGTGCAGCACAACCCTCAAAGCCGCCGTCTCCGCCCAACCTGTTCACAGCCGGCCTGCCGCAGTACGGACAGCTGGGCCACGGCACTGACAACGAGGTGCGTGCGTGCGCAATCTGAGTCCACTGGAACGTTTTCTTTCTGAATCGACTCAAAAGTCGCCTAGTCGCAGTACGGACAGCTGGGCCACGGCACTGACAACGAGGTGCGTTTTTACTGGCCATGGCCACATTGAGTCCTCTGGATCTGTTTTTTCTGAGTCGACTCGGCTCTGAAGCTGGTGTGCGCCAAGTACATGCCTTTAGCGTCTCCCCCCACCTCACCCCCCCTCTTCCCATCCCCCTCCCCATGCCGTCCCCCAACACATGTCCATGTGTGTGTGGATGGCAGTACAACGCCAAGGACTCGACCTTGAAGCTGGTGTACGCCCCTCAGCCCACGCAACATGCTTCCCCCCGGCCCCCTCTCCCCTTGGCTTCCCCCCATTGCTCGCATGTGCATGGCAGTACAATGCCAAGGACTCGGCCGTGAAGCTGGTGTACGCCCCTCAGCCCACACCTCGTGCCGTTGCTGCTCTGGCTGGCCGAGAGATGTGCAAGGTGGCGTGCGGGATCAACCACACTGGTATGTATGACCAGAGGCAGGACGGGTGTGGGCAGAGCAATGGCCTTCAAAAGGAGCAGGGGATAAGCAGAGCAGAAGAAGTGAGAGACTGGGATGTGCCTTGATAGTTCATTTTGAGGCGCCTTGAGGCGCCTCAAGAAGAAGTGAGAGGCTGGGATGTGCCTTGATAGTTTGCACATTCAGAATATTGCTCCTTCACATATGTCTTGTCCTGATCATTGTGTTTTTATTTTCCACTCACACAGTTTCTCCGTTTGTTTCTCTGGCAATGGCAATGGCATCACGTGGCATGGCATGGATTGGGGTGGCATGGCATGGCATGGCATGGCATGGCATGGCAGTGGCAGTGGACGCCAAGGGCTTTGTGTTCACGTGGGGCTTCGGAGGGTTTGGGCGGTTGGGGCACAAGGAGCAGAAGGACGAGTGGCGGCCGCGCCTGGTGGACGTGTTTCAGCGCCAGAACACCCTGCCCCCTACTGCTGTCGTCGCTGCTGGCGGTGCTTTCTCTGCCTGCACTGCCGGTGAGAGTGAGAGTGAGATGGAGGGAACACCCTATCCGCCTCCGCTGTTGTTGCTGCTGGCGGGGCCTTCTCTGCCTGCACAGCTGGTGAGAGTGAGAGTGCGAGAGTGTGAGTGAGAGAGTTAGAACAAGAGGGAGTAAGAGTGAGAGAGTGAGAGTGATAGCGAGTGTGAGGGAGAGAGTGTGAGAGAATGCGCACAGCAGCACAGGGAGCAGCCTCCCATCCCGCCATCCTCCCACCCCTCACCCCCCTTTCTCTCCACAAAAGGCGGCGGGCAGATGTACGCATGGGGCAAGGTGAAGCAGACGGGAGACTGCTGGATGTACCCCAAGCCACTGCTGGACCTCGGCGGCTGCCTTCCCATCCCTCACTTCCCCGACACTGCAGCATACTTATCGGCCGTAGATCAGTCATCATCCACTCCTCCCTACTCCAACTCGCTCCCCATCTCCTCCTCACTCCTCCCCTGCCCCCATCCTCCCAATCCCCCACCCCCGCTTCCTCCATTCCCCAACCACCCCCCCTCCAACCCTCCACAGGCGGCGGGCAGATGTACGCATGGGGCAAGGTGAAGCAGACGGGAGACTGCTGGATGTACCCCAAGCCGCTGCTGGACCTGAGCGGGTGGCACATCCGCAGCATGGCGTGTGGCGCCACCACCTCGTGCGTTGCCGCTGATTCCTCCACCATCTCCTGGGGCTTGGCGCAGCACGGGGAGCTGGGCTACGGACCCAACGGCGCCAAGTGAGTGCTTCTGATAGGCCCCGCCCAAGTGAGGCCCCATGGAAAGCCTCTCATTGCATGGGCAGCTAGGGTGAACTCGTGGGGTAGGGCAGGGGCGGGGCATACAGCAGCATTTGGAGCTGGGTTATGGATCCAAGGGCACCAAGGGTACCAAAGGCGCCACCACCTCGTGCGTTGCTGCTGATGCCTCCACCATCTCCTGGGGCTTGGCGCAGCATGGGGAGCTGGGCTACGGACCCAAGGGCGCCAAGTGAGTGTTGAGTCATCGCAAAACTTGTGCGAAGAGACTATGTTTCAGATGTCTTGGAACCCATGGGACAGGGCTTGGCGCAGCATGGGCAGCTGGGCTGCGGACCCAAAGGCGCTGAGTCCTTCTAATAGGCCCCGGCGACGATTTTTGAGGCCCCTGCGTACTTGTCTCAGTGGACGAGCTGGGTTGAACTCGTGGGGCAGGGGATGGCGCAGCATGGGGAGCTGTGCTGCGGACCCAAAGGCACCAAGTGACTCTTTCTGATAGGCCCCCGCCCAGGTGAGGCCTCACAGAAAGCCTCTCCTCTCATTGCATGGGGAGATGGGCTACGCTACGGACCGAAAGGCTCCAAGTGAGTGCTGAGATGAGACGTGCTGTGCCCTTGATTTCCAGGGTAATGAGACGTCTCGGAAAAGTAAGTTCTCCGACAATCTCCATGATGGTTCCTGGCCCTCCCTATACTCCGTGCAGCAGCCTGCGTTGCTCGTCTAATCTCCCATCCACTCACCTGCTCCTCTCCTCTCCTCTCCTCTCTTCTCCTCTCCTCTCCTCTCCTCTCCTCTCCTCTCCTCTCCTCTCCTCTCTTCTCCTCTCCTCTCCTCTCCTCTCCTCTCCTCTCCTCTCCTCTCTTCTCCTCTCCTCTCCTCTCCTCTCCTCTCCTCTCTTCTCCTCTCCTCTCCTCTCCTCTCCTCTCCTCTCCTCTCCTCTCCTCTCCTCTCCTCTCTTCTCCTCTCCTCTCCTCTCCTCTCCTCTCCTCTCCTCTCCTCTCCTCTCCTCTCCTCTCCTCTCTTCTCCTCTCCTCTCCTCTCCTCTCCTCTCCTCTCCTCTCCTCTCCTCTCCTCTCCTCTCCTCTCCTCTCCTCTCCTCTCCTCTCCTCTCCTCTCTTCTCCTCTCCTCTCCTCTCCTCTCCTCTCCTCTCCTCTCTTCTCCTCTCCTCTCCTCTCCTCTCCTCTCCTCTCCTCTCCTCTCCTCTCCTCTCCTCTCCTCTCCTCTCCTCTCCTCTCCTCTCCTCTCCTCTCCTCTCCTCTCCTCTCCTCTCCTCTCCTCTCCTCTCCTCTCCTCTCCTCTCCTCTCCTCTCCTCTCCTCTCCTCTTGGCAGATCGTCAGCCAACCCTAAGAAGATCGACTCACTCGAAGGCATCCACTCGGTACAGTAAGTCGTCACACAATGCGTGACACAATGGGGCCAACACAAGACAGCTGCGTGCACCTGCTGTGTTTCCTGGATCAGATGGAACCATGTCAACGCTGCAAATTTCGGATGGAGAAAAGAAGCACCACCCAGCCCAGCCAGAGTGTGCCCACGTTTCCCTTTTGTCCTATCATGCTCTGAGCCATTCTTGCCATGCTTCTCGTTCTTACAGCCCATTCATCCTCTATCCGTCTTCTCACTTACTCCTTCACCACCCATTCGTCCCACCCTTTCTAATCCTCACAATGCCTTCCCTTCCCCTCCAACTCCCCCCCTGCTCCCCCCTGCACCCCTCTCCCGGCCTGCCCATCCGTGCAGGGTGGCAGGCGGAGTGGGATTCTTCCTGCACCTGGTATCCCGCACAGGAGCTCCTGGTGATAGTGCAGAGCAGCGCAGCAAGGCCGAGAAGCTGCTAGCAGCGGTGAGTGAGAGCAGGGAGCGGAGGAAAAAGGGAGGGAGGGAGGGTGGGAGGGATGGTTGGAGGGAGAAATGGAGTGAGGGTGGGTAGGTCACGGTCGAGTGATGGGAGTCAATTTGAGAGTTCTCCCGGTGGAGTGATGGTCACGTTCGGTGAATGTGAGGTGTTGCAACAACACAGCTCATAACAGTTTGAAATGCATGTATTTGAAAGAACGTATTTCCACAGGTAGTACACATTCCCACTTCCAATCCACTTCCCCTCAAGTCCCCTCCACTTCATCCCTTTGCCACCCCCTCTCTCATAAAATCTCACTGTTCACACAAGTGTTTGACCTCTCGTCTCACTAAGCAATCTCACTTCCTTATACCCCTTTTTACCCCCACACCTCGTCCCTTCCTTCCTTCAGCTCCCACTGTTCACCCCCGAGCCTGACACCACCTCACAAAAGCCTGCTGGCAAAGGCAAGGCGGCAGGCACTGGGAGGGCACGGAAAAAGGAGGAGAAAGAAGAGGCTGTGGTGGAAGAGGAGGGAGGGGATGAGGAGGGAGGGGAGGAGGACGAGGACGAGGAAGTGGAGGAGGTGGATAGTGAGGAGGAAGAGGATGAGGAGGAGAGTGCATCAAAAAAGAGGAAAGGGAGGGGTGGGAAGGGAGGTAGTGCAGGGGCGAAGAAGGGGAGAGGAGCTGCAGCTGCAGCGGCTGGCAGGGGAAGGGGTGGAGGGAAGGGAAAGGCAGCAGGTGCAGCAGGAGGTAAAGGGAAAGCTGCAAGAGGGCGAGGCAGAGGGAAGAGGAAATAGGGCATTACGGTAATATGACGATGCAGTTTTTTGCATTCTGCTCTCATCAATGGCTCTGTCCACTCTGGGTTTTTTTTCCCCCTCTGGTCAGCACTTCGCAAATACGGTAATGGGCAGCTTTTTGTGCCAGATGTGTGGCTCTTTTGGATATTAAAAATTGTTAATCTACCTTCCGTGCCTTGCATATGGCTGATGCATTTTCCTTTTGATTCGGTGGAGAGAATGGTTATCTATACAGACCAATCTATAAAAGTAGTTTAGTGGAGATAAAAGTAGTTTAGTGGAGATGCAGTGAGGCTTTGGTGCATGCTTCACTGAAAATATTATTTACTCCACATAAGAAATCAGACAAACAAGAAGCAGAGCAGTGCAGCACACACTGACGACAAGAATAGAAGCACATGACAGAAAAGGCACCACTCCGAAAGCTTAGGCCAGATCCTGGAAATATCTAAAACATATACTTCACCATGTACAAGACGACAGCAGCTAACAATCCCACAGCAGATCACACTGCAGATGCCACATCCGCACTGCACCCCGCTACACTCCTTCCCACCTCACCTCACATATCCCAATTGACCCTCAACAGCACTGCCCTCCCTGATTCAGCAGCTGCCATGACCACTTATGGCAAGTGCACATGTTGCCATAACACAGTCAGGACGCGATGGGTCCAGCAGGTGATGTGTAAGACGTAGGTACGAGAGTCGAAGAACATCACAGGTGTGCCACCTGCCCCGACCACTTGTCACGGCCCTGCTCCACGTTCTTCCATGACTCGAAGTCCACCCAGTCAAACGCGATGGGTCCTAGCAAGTGCCCGGGCAGGCCAAAGGCGTGCACGAGGGGGAGCGCATGCGGGCGCACCTCCTTGCACAGCAAGGCCACCTCGTCGTGAATCGCCTGCCCTTGCTCTGTGCTCACATATCCGTACCTGGTTTTCACCAGAGGGGGAGGAAATGGGGAAAGCGGTTGGAAAGTGGTTGAGGAGTTGCGGTGGGTTGAGATGGAAAGTGTGTGGTGGTGATGTGATCGAGGAAAGGAGTGGTGGAGGGAGCAGAGAGAAAGAGGGTGCGAGAAAGAGTGGGGAACTGGGAAGGAATGTACCGAGAGAGAGGGAAGGTGGGGTGTGGGTTACCGTACCTGAGAAAGATCGGGTCTTCATCCACAGTGACCGTGGCAAAGACAGTGGTGAGCAGTGTCAGCACGTCCTTTTGAGGCACCTCAAATGTAGCAAGAGGGGGAAGGTGGGATGATGTGGGTTACCTGAGGAAGACCGGGTCTTCGTCCACAGTGACCATGGCAAAGACCGTGGTGAGCAGTGTCAGCACGTCCTTGAGCGGTCCAGGCTGCAGCCCCTGCAGCACATCTGCGGCCGCCACCAACACCTCTAGCTCCGCATGCGCCCTTCCCAGGTCTGAACTCAGCTGAAAGCTCTGTTGCACGGAGAGAGGAGGAGAGGGAGGGAGGGGTCAGGAGTGCATGGAATGGAAGCGCAGTGAGTGATGAGGCACATAAGTAGATTAGACGGGGACACAGCAGGTGGAATGTGCAGGCAGGTAGGACTGCAGGGGGAGAGGCCTGACCGCGTGCAGACAGGAACTGCGTGTGGTTGGAGTAAGCTAGTTGCAACAGCAAGCTGGTTGCAACAAGTGCATGTGCAGCGGCTCACCTGGTTGAGCGCGTCTGAGATGCTGTGGCCGGCAGACACGAGCACGTTCACCCGAGTGGCTAGACGCTCCAGCAGGTCCCTCTCCCTCAGGCGGAACAGGGCCAGCTGTGTGCAGCAGGGGGGTGCACAAGGAGGGATAGGGTGAAGTTGAAGACACATAGATGTGACACTGCTGGGTCTAGGGCTGCTGTGGGCATATGCAGAGGAAGAGCAAGCAGTGGATGATGGATTGGAGTGTATGGAGGAAAAGGCAGAATCTTCCAGGGAGCCGCATGGCATGTGGTGGTGCGATGGCGACGGGCATATGCACTGGCTGCATGTGTGGAGCACACGTACATGGAACTTAAGGTCGCGGAGAATCGCGCGGTTGGACGAGGTGGAGAGCGGTACTCGGGGGCCGTTGAGGTGTTCCAGTCCCAGCCCGTGCAGGGGCTTGCCCTTCCTCTTGGCCGCCATGTAATCTGCTAGAATCGCCTTGCTCACCTGCTCGCGCACCCATCATCATACACACAACCATGCACGGACGCATGTGATTACCCAAGCACATTTACAAGCGGGCGTGTGTGTGCACATCTATATCAACTGCAAAGGCAGACTCAGTGAAGCATGCATGGGTGCATGGGTGCCTCACTCACCGTCTGCATGAGCACCACATTATCGCCCTCAAACGTGGTCATGACATCATGCTCCGCGTACAGATGCCCGATGCGGTTGTCACTCTTCACGCCCATGCCCCCGCACGCCTCGCGGCACTCCTGCAGCGTGCGCAGCATGTGCCACGAGTTCATCGCCTTGTACCCGCTCGACTGCACGTGAATGTACTTCACGTCAGAGGGTCGCCGCGACAGGTACAGCTCCCGCAGCCCGTTCACCGCCAGGTGGAGCACGTATCTGGGCACAGCAAAAGGTGAGACGAGTACGGGGAGTGGTGGGTGAAGGAGAGAGGGTGGGTGAGTGAGACTCGATGGTGGTTGATGGGTTGGCTAGTGGCATGGTGCAAAAGGCGAGGGTCGAGTGAGAAAGGAAAGAGACGCACGTCTTGGCGAGGAGGGGCAGCAGGCGGCGCTGGTGGGTGGGGTAGTCGAGCAGCAACACCTCCTCCTCCCCGGCCGTGAGGGCGAAGGCACGGCGCGTGAGCGCATAGCGCAGGGCGATGGACAGACCCACCTGGCGAGGGGAGAGAGCAAGAGATGATTCAATTAGCAGTGTGGCATGGAGTGAGTTTGTGCTGGTGTTAGTGATGGTGTGAGTGTTGGTGCTTCACAGGATGCATAGTTGAACTGCTAGCTGGTTACCAACCAGGGTGTAAGGATAGAGGTTTAGGGTTATGTTGAGGTACGGGGAATGTGAGAGAGGCGGATGAACAACAGCCAGCTTACCTTGCACTGGTTGACGGCGCTGATTGCCAACGTGACGCGGCCCCCAGTCAATGGCGCCATAAACGCAGCGAACCTCTGAATGACATAGCACACACACACACGCACACACACAAGAGAGGGAATGAGGAAAGAAGGCTCCCAGCATCAGCCACGCAACTACTTCCCCTGCAACAACACCCTGCCTCCCAACCTTATCTACTGTAGCCCGCTTCTTTTCTCTGCACCTCACCCCATCTTGCCTGCCATTAGCCGTGGTTATTACCTGGTCGGGGTCGGGGATGGGGCTGATGTAGCGACCGTCTGCCGTCACGTCTGCCACTGCGTTAAGGAGATTCTCGCGAGGGATCCTCACACTGTCAAACCTGCAGCGCACCATCCAGGCCAGCGGGCAGACAGGCGGACAGGTGGTCAGGCGGACAGACCAAAAGGAGGACAGGCGGACAGGCGGACAGACCGCGGACAGGAGCAGGAAGAAGAGGCAAGAGGGGGAGGGGGGAAGGGAGCGGAGTGGTTACCACATGCGGCCGTTGTCAATGCCGTTGAGGCACGTCTTGTGGCCGCAGTCGGCAATGCGCACGCCGGGCATGACGCGGCCGTGCGCGTCCCTGATGGGCACGATGAACGCGTGCACGCCCTCGTTGCGCCCGTTCATGTGCAACTGCGCGAACGCCACCGTGTGGTTCGCGTGCTGGGGGAAGGACGGTCGACGTGGACGCACAGGGGAAGAGTAGGTCGAGAGAGAGTGAGCAGGGGAAGCTAAACACGAGCACATGCATGCAGGGATGAACAAGCGAGCATTCAGGAGGACTTTGGCAAAATAATATTTCAGGAAATGGAGAGGAGTTGGCAGGCACGGTTGTCATGTGCCGTGAAAGGAGGATGGGGGAGACGGGCACCCACCATGGCGGCGCCTCCGATCCAGTACTTCTGCGCCGTCTCGCACGGCGTTGTGATGATGAACTCCTCTCGAGCAGGGTCGTACGACGCAACCGTCTCAATGCCGCGCACCTGACGAGCAACGACGCATGAACAACCACCGTGAGCGAAGGAAGAATTATAGATAGCAATGCATGCAACGCGGGGGAAAAAGAGTGTGGCGTCAGGAGCGCCAAGAAGAAAAGGGGAGAGGGGGGAGGAGGCAGGCAAAGGGAAGGTAATCAATACGTGGATGAAGGGGCGATGCTTGTTATGGCGACTATGCACTCACATTGCTTCCATGACCGAGCTCTGTTAGTCCGAAGCAACCCGCCACTTCGTAGTCCTCCGTGCGAGCCAGCCACTTGTCGTGATGCCTCTTGGTCCCCAGATACTTCACCGCACCACCCCTGCCACCAGCCCAAAACGAATCGCCAATCATTAAAAATAACTTAGATTCATTGCCAGCTCACTGGTTGTTGAGGGTCAGTATTCTTTTCGTCAAGTTTCATGACTTCTCCAGCGCGTAGGGTGAAAAAAAAAGGGTCAGCACCATCAGCAGCCGCAGCAGCACAAGGTCAGCACCGTCATCATAAAAAGCAGCAGAAAGCAGCTCACCAGAGGTGGATGTGCACGCCCAGCTTGACCGCCATGGACTGGTCGAACATGCTAATGGCCTCGTGCATCGCCGACTTGCGTCGCACGCTCGCCGGACTGTCGTCCGTCAGCCACCCCTTGAAGTACCCTCGGTCCCTCAGGAAAATGATTCGCTCGAACGTCACGTCCCTCTGCTGCTCCTTGGTCGAGTTGTAGTCCATGCTCGTGTACACGTGTCCACGTGGAGGGTCGGGATTGGACCAGAAGATCTTGGTGTTGGCGAAGATGTTGAACATCTCCTTGTGAACCTCCGCGCCGTCTCCTACCAGCAGCTTATGCAGCGCAGCGGGGTTGAACTTAGCAGGTCCTGAGTGCGACATACAACGAACAGAAGGTTGGTTATTCGCTATCAAACAAGCAACAGAATCAATATTGAAAAAACACAAGGTTGATTTGTAGCGAACGGTAGCGGATCGTCTATCTGTATATCTCGCTCTCCGCATTCTTCGCGATGGTAATACCTTCGTGACGCTCAGGTGGGACGTATTGGAGACAGGGAGCAGCGCCAAGAAGGATTTGTTCGTCCATCGTAGGGCCTTGCAGAGAGAGATGCTGCGCGAGGACGCCCACTCGCCGATTCACGGCCTCCGACCGTCCTTCCATGGCGAAACCAGCGCGATGCACGCAACGATGCGAAACGACGCGTTACGAACGAGCGCGTGATGCTATCAACCGCGAAACTCGCTCGCGCTTCCAGGTATCCGCTGACAAACCCGAGGCTTCGCAGATGAAAACGGAAAAAGAGCAAGTGACGAGAAATGAGAAAATGGAGAAAGGTAGAAGAGCAAAGCCTCGTTGGCAAAATCAACGAATGGAGAGCTGGGACTCAAAATGCCGTCTTTATACGTCGGCCATCGGAAAGGGAAATTTCGCTCCCCGTGGGGTGGTGGTGTGGAAGCTTTCAGGGAGTCACCGACACGAGAGAGCGCTAACGTCCCTGCTTGCTCTTGGAAAGCGCATCAAGATTGTGGCCTCTCAGGCTCAGGCTCTGTGGGGGGAGTGCGGTCCACATCAACCTTGGGATTGCCCCAGTGTGGGACAAAATGCCGTCATCACTTCCGCAAGCCACGAAGTGTCCAGCTAGTATCGACGTGGAAGTGTCCCAAGAACAGCTGGGCTGGGACAACTCAGCGGGGATGAGAGGGATGGGTGTACAGGTCAATGGAGGTCGAGATTTCGTTGGTTGTCGTCAATGGGGTGGCGCGGGGTCTGCGAAATTCCTTCAACGTCGTCGCCAGCAAAGTGAAGTTACAAATGTGCACTCGTTAACCTTCACTACGTACGAGCTACAAGGAAAACTAGAATTCATATCATGTGCAAGTTCTATTGATCATGCCATGTCATTTTCTAGCAGAAAGAGGACGGGAAATGCCCCATTTACCACAAACTTAGAGGGAACGTAGTCATTCGGAGCCAGATGGATGGGGAGGCGCAAGCCGCACACGTGTTCTCGAGGTGAGAGTTCCTGAACCTAATTCTCTTCTTTTACAGGAGCATGGCAGGTTCTGCTTCAAGGAGGGAGAACAGAAGGTGACTGATTAGGTGGCAGAACGGCACCCAACGCAACAGCGTTGAGGGATAACAGAAGGTGACTGGTTTGATGGCACACCTTCAAAGGAAGCAGGAAGGGGTTCTGAGAAGGTATTTTTTGCATGCCGTACTTGCTCGGATCACTGAAGACCACTATCGGGGTGGACATTTGACAAGCCCAAACGGTAGTGATGCTTATGCCGGTAGGTGGCGCCAGTGATGAGTGGCTCTCTGGTGGTGTTTGGAGCGGGAGGAAGTCGACGAGCAGGAGGATGCGTGGGGTGCTTTATGGGGCATATGCACCCTGCTTGGTGTGTGTGAGTTTGGTTGTGGGTTGGCTACATTTCTGTGGGCTTGTTGTGGCACCATCAACCAACCGCACTGATTGGCTTGCAAGATCAGCCATTGCAATTGCTCTAGTGGCTTCTGTGTGCCAGAAGTTTTGGTCCTATTCATCACAATAGTACGGGAGCTTTAGCGCCATGCAAGTGCAGAGTGAGATTACTTTGAATGTATGGAGAGCAGAAAGAACCGATTTTACTGGAAGCCACATACTGCTCGGTTGCTTTATCGAGCGCACACGCTTCTAGCTTGAGAAACGCTATACTTGCAGGTGCAACCAAGCGATCCATCCGTGCACCGGCAAGCCTTCCCCGCGTTCGCCGCAAAGAAACAGAAGTCCTGGCAGCCGAGGAAGTTTCCGGCACAAAGGCACGGATTGTTCTTTGCGTCACTGCACCGCTTGCAGGGGCGCTGGTAACCACCAGGCTCGTAACACGCCACCGAGCAATACTGCCCATCGCGATTGCACAGGCAGCCGCTGCCGTCGAAGTTGTAGCAGGACTTGCAATCCATTGTGCGTGATACCTTGCAGAAAGTCATGCACTGGTCACCCAGGCAGTAGCAATTGTCCTCCCCTGAAATCTGCTGGTCGCACATGCGGCACTGTTGCCCCTCCGTCTGTCCCGCAACGCATACCACCAGAGCCGGGCTGATATTTTTCAGCTTCAGCGGCTTCTCCGGCGGAGCCTTCTTGGTTGGTGGCGTCGTCGCCAGTATCTTAGCGGGGACCTTGGCTGGTGTTGGGACAGTTGGAGTTAGCGGCTTAGACGGAGAGGCTATCTGCGGGAGTGGCGGAGATTTGGTGACCGCCGGAGCCTTGGGCGCTGCTGGAGTCTTCGCCACGGTTGGGGTCTTCGGTACTGGTGCAGTCTTCTTCGTTCCTGTCGGAGTCTTCGCTACAGGGGGAGTAATCGTGGTTGCTGGGGTCTTTACTGGTGCAGTCTTCTTCGTTCCTGTCGGAGTCTTCGCTACTGGTGGAGTAGTTGTTGCTGCTGGCGAATTTGCCACTGGCGAAGTCTTAGCAGCAAGCGGCTCCGTGGATAGAAGTGCTTGGGCCTGGGGGACGGCGGGTGTGGGCTTGATTGATGGGACGGGCACGGAGGACTTGGGAGTGGAATTGGATGGACTTGCCGTGCTGCTGCTCTTCGATTGGAAATCTGAAGCTGACCGGAGGGACATGAGCTGTTGACCGGTTACGCTCGCTGAAGTCACGGGAACGGATGCAGGAGATGCTTGGGTGGTTTGACCGACGACTGGATGGATGTTAACGAGGGAAGAGAGGAGGAGGATGCCGTGGAGAAGCGCAATCGGCGAAGGGACGGCGGAGATTTGACGCATTGGAACGAGAAGTTGCAGGGATCGGCAATGGAGATTCGTGAGTCTTGCCATGGTTCACAACGGAAATGGCGACCAGGAGAGTTCTGGTGCAAGAAACGATTTTGCGTAAGGTTCCAACGCCCTTTCGATAATTCAGAGAGCACAAGAGGTCGACCAGCGATTCTGGCTATAGAGATGACGACGGCAATCGGTGCATATCCACGGTAAGCTGCTGATCCAGAACTATGCACTGAACAACCGAGAGCGAGCAGCGTGGGGAGACTACAAACTAGGTTTTTTGCGTCGTAGAATTTCGCGAAAAAGTTCACTAGGCTAAAAGGCTCAAAGCAAAGGCGAGGAAGAATGAAACAGACTGAAGGGAGAATCGGTTACCGATTGGCGAGGCTCAATAATAATCAAAATCATTGTTAGTCTCGCACCTATCTTACCAGACGAGCGGAACTTCCAGGCCCTGCTGCTGGCTACCCAACTGGAATCGCGTTGGTTTGATTTGAAGATTGTCGTGCCGCTGTCGGTCAGCTATTCAGATGTCGGTCGGGGGGGAGTGGCGGGGAAACTAGTTTTACTGGGTCAGAAGAAACCGTGAGTCTGCGCTTGTGGGAGTGGCTTGCAGAATCGAGGTGCAGTTTGTGACAGCAAGGGCAGCTGCAGACGTCAAAATTGACGGCAGAATTTAGCGATGGTTTGGCGGCTTGGCGTGTCTGACAAAGATGAGGAGGGAACACGCTTTCCCGCGGTCCCAGGCCGTCAGAGACACAAGAGGTGAGAGTCAGCAGCGGGTATTCGCTTATCGAGACATGTTTGCTACGAATGAGGGTACATCCTAAACGTGGCGATTTATACAACACAAACATTGTCTAGAGTCGAGAAAGTATTGATGTGACTAGTTCCGTACTGGCTGCGTACTGAGGAAAGCCTCGTACGGGTAACAGTGCAGCCCCCGCGAGGATGGGACCATTCTCGCTGTTTCCTTTCACTTCCCTTGTTTCACACCCACCACTTACGTAACGTTCATGTTGACGTGGCAAGCGTCAACAACCACCATTCCCATAGCAGATTGAGTGGCTTCTCGCACATTCTCCCACCGAAGCATCGTCATTTGTGCGGCGGATGTCGTCATTTGTAATGTCACGCTGCCTTGCTGTCGACAGTCAGCAGCAATCGGAACAACACATCAACCATCGTGTCATGTGACGCAACGCACTTGGCCTTTGCTTCACCATGCGATTCACTTGGCGTTTGTATTGGTGCTCGCTGGCGATGATCCCACAGCACCATTCGCTGAGGTGGCGAGGCGCGAGCGTCAAGATGACATGACATACAGTACGTGATTCATGCTTTTGCCTGTTCAGACACCTTGACTGGTCATCATCAGTGGCAGCCGATGTTCCACTGACATGGTTGGTGAATCAAGGGAAATTATACGCGCAGTCACAATTATGGCCGTATTATCACGTTTGGTCACGGGGTTATCACGGACAGTCACAGTACAGTACTTCGCTATCACGCATGATCACAGCGCTATCACGCTTGATCACTCCTCGCTAGAGGGAGAATTACCTCTGATACCTCCCTCCCTGTAGCTTGTTTAATTCACCATATCGTATGCCTACTCAAATCCAAGATTGACTGGTGGTTGATATGCAAATGACATTGTGTAATTGGGTTATTTATTACTGCGTGTGCAAAACATAATGTCAAGGTATCAATTACAAAGAGAAGAGTGATTATATAATCGAAACTGCTATTGATCGCGTATATTCACTGCAAAATGCGGACTCTGCATTAAACTGCATCGGTCCCTAACAAGGACCGAGTATATTTCGACAGTCACATCACGTTTTTCACTACAGACAAAACGCGCGCGAGATAAAAGTACCTGAATCTGTACAGTAGATTTGAGAGTTTCGACTTTTTGGCGGGCGTTTCAACGAGTGACCAAACGTGATAACCCTGCGGGGCGAGGAGTGATCAAGCGTGATAGCGCTGTGATCATGCGTGATAGCGAAGTACTGTACTGTGACTGTCCGTGATAACCCCGTGACCAAACGTGATAATACGGCCATAATTGTGACTGCGCGTATAATTTCCCGTGAGTCAACGGTCATCCTGTGGACTGACGTCCTGCGAGTGGCCGAAATTGGTGACATTGGTTTTCGCGAATGCCACATCCCACAAAACAGGAGCTGTTGGTGGTAGGCACCTGCTGTTGTATTCCCAAGGCAGGATAGCGCGTGTGTTTGGGGATTAGGGTTTGATGGATTTTGCCTGCCTCACGCTGGATATCTTGATAATTGTTTCGTAATCACACCCTACGCTAAAAGGGTAAATATCACGAGCCAAACTGTTTGAGCTGTTTCTGGGTTCGGTTCAAATTATAGCACTTGCCTACCTGAAATCAAGGACTGGAAATCTAAGGACCCGAACTTGAATATCAATTTTTTTTTTCTGGTTCCTTATCAACAGAGAGGCAAGCGGCTTTTGAGGTTTCAGGGCAATTGATCCAATTTAGGTCTACAGCTTCAAAAGCCCGAGATGTGACCCCCATCCTTTCTACTTCTTCCTTGCTTGTTCTGGTCATAAGTTTTTGTTCGTGCAGCTCTGTTGTTTCAGATTTTAGGGCATTCAGTGATTTAGGTATATCGTGTCTCTCGTCTTCGGCTAGCCCAGCCGTTGATTTGGCTTCTCGTCCCGTATAGCTTGACTTCCAGGTCCGACTGGGCTGACCCTGCATGGGCGGCGTTTTCCTCCCTCCAGTGTGGTCGCTGTTAGATTACCGGCTTTGCTTGTAGCACGGGGTTTCCCGGGGCAAGCGAAGCAGTCTTGCGCGTCTTATTGTCGCAGTTTCGTCCCCGACGCTCGTAACGAGCTCCAGTCGCAACACTTCCTCAGTGGTGATTTATGGCATGTAAGTCTTCGTTCGCGTAATCCGTACCATCGCTTGCACTCGTATCTTAGTTCTCTTACGCCGTCCTTACCCACATCCAAGCTAGATCCTCCGACGTAACTTTCCTCTCGGCAAATTTTGTTCCCGGCCCCGTTCTCCCCATCTGCAGCAAGACCACCTCCGCCGAAACCTTGGGAGAGGGCGCAGCAGAGCACAGGAGCGGCATCGTCGTCTCCGTTCGCTCCGTCGGCGCCGGCTGCCAGCACGTCGCAGGTAGTCGCAGAGGCCGGCACCGCTGGGAGCAACCCGGTAACGTCTGCAGACGCAGCGGCTGCTGGCCGTCCTATGCCATCTCGGCCGTGGGAAGGAGCAACCACTGCTGCAGGTAAGCCGATTAGGACTCTTATTGCAACTGTGAGTCGGCTGCTGATAATTATTGTTGTTTTTTTTAACGTCTTCAACTCGATTTCGATGGCACTGCCTGGACCTGTCCATTTTCGAGCTCTCCCCTCCCGCCACCCCGCCTTTTGTTGAAGGCTCTCTTCCCGTGTCCGTTGTTTCTCCCTTTCACGGTATCTCTTCTCCTCTCTCTTTCCGCGCAGTAGACGTTTCGTCTGTCGGTTGCCGCCGTTGCAGCTTTCCCCGTTCCCCGCATCCTGCTCCATGATTCACCGACTGATTGTTCCCTGTGCGGCATACGCATCGTGTCCCCGCAGGCGCAAGCGCGGTTTCCCCGTACGGTTCGTCCGCCTACGGCACACCCGCCAGCACCGCCGGCGGAGCCTACTTAGGGGCGAACCGCTACGGCAGCGGCATGAGCTCGCTCTACGGTGGCGGGGGCATGTACGGTGCGGGCGGCACCGCCTACGGCAGCGCCTATTCCTCTCCCTACGCGTCGCGACTTGGCGGCGGCTACGGCGCCGGGGGATACGGGGCTGGCGGGATGTACGGCGGAGGATACGGGTCTAGTTACGGCATGGGCGGAATGGGCGGATACGGAAGCAGCCTTGGCGGGGGGATGTATGGGTCGGGGATGACGATGGGGGGAATGGGCGGGGGGATGTATGGGTCCGGCATGGGCATGGGCATGGGCATGGGCATGGGGTACGGCGGTGAGATGGGCATGGGGCCGCATGGGGGCGATCCTAATGCTCCGCCGGATGGTCAGGGACCCCCGCGCGCGCCCACCTTCTGGGTTTCCATGCTGCGAGTGGTGAGTGGCTGTGTGCATTGAAAGAAGGGTATTCGTTTTTATTAGAGAGGGAGCGTGGGGTGGGAGTAGGGAAAACATTCAACCAGATTGTCTGATTTATTGAAAGCTGAGTGATTTCTTACGTTCTGCATCCGTTTTTTGCATTGAAGAGTGTTTGCAGTGTCATGGTTGTTGAGGCATAACTTGCATGTGTGCTTCTGTGGGCTTGTGTGCGTGTGTGATGAGCAGATTCACGGAGTGATGACAGCGTTTGGTCGATTGTGTGTACTGGTGGATGAGAACACACATGCCATCCACTTCTTTATCACAGCACTGCTGCAGGTATGCTTGTCTAGTCTAGTGACCAATGCATTGCCATGGCCACCTCACTCGCCTAACCATTTCCTCTTGCGCCTTACCCTATCCGCACTCTAAACTCTCCTGCTAAGTTTCCGTTGGAGTGTCCTCTCCCTGTCCTCACACAATACCTGTTTTTCTCGCTGCCCATCTTCCCTTCATTACAGCTATGTGACCGTGCGGGTCTCCTGTATGGTGAAGTAGCCAGGTTTGTGCTGCGCCTGCTCGGTTTTCGCACGCCGCCAACTCAACGCAAAGGGCTTCCCCTCGCTCCTGATGCTGCTCTGCTGCGTGGTGCTCCTGCTGCTGGTGCTCCTGCCGGCTCTGCGCCCGCTGCTTTCTCAGCACCGGCAAAGACTGCCTTTTCTCCTGGTGCTGCTGCTGCTACTGCTGCTGGTTCATCACATGCTGCTGCTCCTGCCGGAGGTGCTGCTGCTGGAGGCCCGGCTGGTTCGTGGGATAACCTATGGCCAGGGAGTTCGTAGAGTAATGGTGGAGGAAGAGAGGTCTTGAAGAAGAGTGGGCTGGAGAGTTTGGACATGGGTGGATGGATGGGATTGTTGGCTCTTGCATCTGGGGCAGCTGTGCGTTTGGTGCGGGTGCTCGCATATGCGGTCGGTCGGTCGGTATACGTCGTTATCGACTTCCTGTGGTGCTGTGCCAAAAGGCAGTTGAGAAGGTCACTTGTGCCAAATGGCACTGCATGGTTGTAGGAGCAAGTCTACACGTCAGATAGATAATATACTTGTGAATATGGTAAAGTTGGCATTGAATGCTTTGTAATACCCTTGTGAGCTACACGTCTCAATAGACAAGTGATTCATGCTTGTACTGTACCGTAAAAACACGCAATTCAGCGCGAACGATCAACATTCCGCCCTTCAAAATCATCCCCCCCCTCTAACCATCTACCCTTCAAAAGCCCTCGATACTACCAGAGCTCTCTTGAAGTCGGTGGAACCATCCGTGGAGTCCGTCCTGGCTCTTGAACTCGTTGCAGTATTTCGTGAGCTTTACCACATTCCGTAAGTCTTCTCGCGATTCCGACGTTATCGTAGGACTGGGTCTCACTAGTCCGTTTGCCATGTCGTTCGCTGCATCTTCCGCCGCCATTTGTCCCTCAGCCGCCGCGTTCCCATCACTCAAGCGCGCTCAGGATCTCTCCGCGCAACCACAAGCCCGCAGGGCTCCGCTAATCCCCGCTGCTTCCGCCTCCGCCTCCGCTTCCGCCGCTATGCGCCGGAGAGCTCCGCAGGCATCATCGGAGCGCGCCAAGCCCAGGAGGGCAAGGCGGAGAGTGGCATGCCAAGCGGGAAGCGGGAAGTGGGATGGATCTGGATCGGAGTTCCCGAACCCCGCGGACCTTCCGCCAAAGGCGGCGGAGGAGGAGGCGCGGATGGATGGGGAAAGCCGCGCGGAGAGGATCCGCGCGGAGGCGAGAAAGCTGCGAGAGGAGGAGGCGATTAGGCTGTACGAGGTGAGTTAATCCGCGTCTTAGAGCATTACGTCTCTCAGGAGGAAATAAAGATCATGCCTGTACTTCGTGTTAAGTGTGCACAGAATTATTGCATTATTTTCGTCTTAACGAATTTGCCCTGTAGTGGTGACCAAAACTCTATGTACAGTGCGTTAAGTCACTTTATTATGCTGCGTGATCGAGTCATTTACACGCATGTCCTTGATCTCACTCGCCGTACCCCCATGCGCTCCTATCCTCCCTTTCCCCGTTATATATTCTTTTGTTAATATGGGGCCCCCTCACATTTCCCCTTTTCTTCCCTGTCTTGACCTCGCTCCCTCCGCGCCATTTGCCACCGTGCCGTGTGCACCGCGCTATGCGCCTTCCCCAGGCTCCCGGCGCTGCGCCACGCGAGCTAGTCGAGGCGGCGGTGGCGGAGGAGATAGGGGTGGGGGAGGGGGAAGGGGAAGGGGAGGGGGAAGAGGAAGGGGAACGACTGGTGAAGAAAGCGGAAGCTTCTAGGCAACCTGCCGCTGCAGTGGGGGGGAGCAGGGTGATTCAAGGGGCTTTAAGCGAGGAGAGGGAGGAAGGAGAGGTGGAGGAGGTGGAGGAAGAGGAGGAGGAGGGGGAAGTGGAGGAAGAGGAAGAAGAAGAGGAGGAACTAGAAGAAGGCGAGGTGGAAGAGGAGGAGGAGGAGGAGGAGGAGGACGACGAGGAAGAGATGTACGAGGAAGACGAAGAGGAGGAGGAGGAGGATGAGGAGGAGGATGAAGAAGAAGAGGAGGCGTCGTTTGACATGCGGATGGTGACGGCAATGGCGGAGGCGGGCGAGGAGGGGGGCGCGGGCGCGCTCACTCTCGCGGAGATCCTGGAGGACGCGGGGGTGGAGGCGCTGGACGTGGATGGGGACCTGTCGGTGGAGATCACTGGCATTCAGGCTGACTCGAGGTGGGGGGATGGGGGAATGCAGTGGAGGGATGGAGTGGGGGGATAAAATGAGGGGATGCGGTGGGGGAATGGAGTGGGGGGATGGAGTGAGGAAATACCGACGCTCTGGTCCTCATTTATCACCACGAGGAGGCGAGGCTGGGTGATGTTTGTGTTTGTGTGTGTGTTTGTGTGTGTGTGTGTGTGTGTGTGTGTGTGTGTGTGTGTGTGTTTGTGTGTGTGTGTTTGTGTGTGTGTGTTTGTGTGTGTGTGTTTGTGTGTGTGTGTTTGTGTGTGTGTGTTTGTGTGTGTGTGTGTGGTGGGGCAGACCACAGACGGACGGGCAGATGTACTTGCGATGAAGCTGGACGTTTTCTGTGTGTGTGTGGTGGGGCAGACCACAGACGGACGGGCACATGTACTTGGGTTCTTCGCTCCTTTCCCCACCCATACCTCCACCCTCTGCTGCCCTTACTGTGCCTTTTCCACCCTCCCCTATCCCCTTTCGCTCCCGTCCACCTGTCATAACGTCTGCAGGGAGGTGAAGCCGGGCGATCTGTTTGTGTGTGTGGTGGGGCAGACCACGGACGGGCACATGTACGTGGGGGACGCGGCAGAGAGGGGCGCTGCTGCTGTCGTGCTCTCACGCGGAGACGTGGAGGTGGACGAGCGCGTGGACGCCGTGGTGCAGGTCGGTGCAGAGCGGTGCTCCTTGGTTAAGGGGGGCAAGGGGTGCTGTACTGCAGGGTGGGGAGTGGGAGGGAGGGGTGTTGTGCGTGCGCTTCCCTGTAGTGTGCGTGGGCCGTTTGGGCGTTTCGGCATGGTGGCAATGGCAACACACGGGGTGTGGCTCTTCCGTGATCGCTAGGTTGCAATTCTTGTAAGCAATTTCTGAGAATCCTCGATTGCTGTCGGCAGTCAGTAGCCTTGTTTTGAGACGCCGCAAGAACAGGCTTCAGTGGTGTCTCTAGGTCATTGCGGTTTCTGTCTGTGCTGTCTGCCATTGCTGATGTTACCGAGTGCCTGGCACATACCTCATGCCATGGTGTGTGGTATGGTGTGGCATGGTATGGTGTGGGATGGCGTGATATGGTATGGTATGGTGTGACTTGGTGTGGCATGATGTGGCTCTGCATGGCATGGCGTGTGCCATGCCACAAACAGGTGGAGGACACGCAAGCAGTGCTGTCAGCACTGGCAGGTGCATTCTATGACCATCCATCAGAGAAACTTGCCATGGTATGCCCTTCAATGTCATCCCCAATTAATATGAATCAGTTTTTTCACCATCCTACGACTTGTCATCTCCCATGCACCTTTACATGCCGTTCTTAGTATGCTTTTTGCTTTCCACATAATAGTACATCCCACCACCTTTTCCCGTACCACCTTCTCTATTATGGGAATAGCATTTACGACTCTCTGAGCCTCTCTGTCGCCCTCCCCCCAACCCCCCCCCCCCGTTGTTCCTCTCCGCTCTCTCCCCTTCTGCTCCCCTTCTGCCCTCCACCCCCCTCTGCTCCTCCCTCTCTCCCCAACCCTGGCCCTGCCCCTGCTCGTCTCCCCTTTCCCTAATGACTCCCCCCTCTGGCTTCCCACCCCCCTCTCTCCCCCACCCATTCGTCCCCCTGCAGGTGGGGTTAACGGGCACGAACGGCAAGACGACCACCACGTATCTCATCAAGAGCATTTACGAGGCCATGAAGGTGCCTGCAGGCCTTCTCGGCACCATCAGCTACAAGTAATGTTGATGGTGCACCATCGGCACCACCATGCCGTGTCCATCCAGTGCTGTGCCATGCCTGTGCCATGCCTGTGCCATGCCCATGCCCATGTCATGCCATGCCATGCTGTGCCACTATGTTCCACGCGATTCTTGCTGTACCGTGTCATGCAATGGGATGGTTTTCCATGGCAGGTCATGGCTTATTTCGTCCAACCCCTAATCTTCCCACATCGCCCTTCCGGCTTATGAACTTATACTCTCCTCCCCTGCACCCCTCCACCCCTCCACCCCTCCACCCCTCCACCCCTCCACCCCTCCACCCCTGCACCCCTGCACCCCTGCACCCCTGCACCCCTGCACCCCTGCACCCCTGCACCCCTGCACCCCTGCACCCCTGCACCCCTGCACCCCTGCACCCCTGCACCCCTGCACCCCTGCACCCCTCCACCCCTCCACCCCTGCACCCCTCCACCCCTGCACCCCTGCAACCCCTGCACCCCTGCACCCCTGCACCCCTGCACCCCTGCACCCCTGCACCCCTGCACCCCTGCACCCCTGCACCCCTGCACCCCTGCACCCCTGCACCCCTGCACCCCTGCACCCCTGCACCCCTGCACCCCTGCACCCCTGCACCCCTGCACCCCTGCACCCCTGCAACCCTGCACCCCTGCACCCCTGCACCCCTGCACCCCTGCACCCCTGCACCCCTGCACCCCTGCACCCCTGCACCCCTGCACCCCTGCACCCCTGCACCCCTCCACCCCTGCACCCCTCCACCCCTGCACCCCTCCACCCCTCCACCCCTGCACCCCTCCACCCCTGCACCCCTGCAACCCTGCACCCCTGCACCCCTGCACCCCTGCACCCCTGCACCCCTCCACCCCTCCACCCCTGCACCCCTCCACCCCTGCACCCCTGCACCCCTGCACCCCTGCACCCCTGCACCCCTGCACCCCTGCAACCCCTGCACCCCTGCACCCTGCACCCCTGCACCCCTGCACCCCTGCACCCCTGCACCCCTGCACCCCTGCACCCCTGCACCCCTGCACCCCTGCACCCCTGCACCCCTGCACCCCTGCACCCCTGCACCCCTCCACCCCTGCACCCCTGCACCCCTGCACCCCTGCACCCCTGCACCCCTGCACCCCTGCACCCCTGCACCCCTGCACCCCTGCACCCCTGCACCCCTGCACCCCTGCACCCCTGCACCCCTGCACCCCTGCACCCCTGCACCCCTGCACCCCTGCACCCCTGCACCCCTGCACCCCTGCACCCCTGCACCCCTGCACCCCTGCACCCCTGCACCCCTGCAACCCCTGCACCCCTGCACCCCTGCACCCCTGCACCCCTGCACCCCTGCACCCCTGCACCCCTGCACCCCTGCACCCCTGCACCCCTGCACCCCTGCACCCCTGCACCCCTGCACCCCTGCACCCTGCACCCCTGCACCCCTGCACCCCTGCACCCCTGCACCCCTGCACCCCTGCACCCCTGCACCCCTGCACCCCTGCACCCCTGCACCCCTGCACCCCTGCACCCCTGCACCCCTGCACCCCTGCACCCCTGCACCCCTGCACCCCTGCACCCTGCACCCCTCCACCCCTCCACCCCTGCACCCCTCCACCCCTCCACCCCTGCACCCCTCCACCCCTGCACCCCTGCAACCCTGCACCCCTGCACCCCTGCACCCCTGCACCCCTGCACCCCTCCACCCCTCCACCCCTGCACCCCTCCACCCCTGCACCCCTGCAACCCTGCACCCCTGCACCCCTGCACCCCTGCACCCCTGCACCCCTGCACCCCTGCACCCCTGCACCCCTGCACCCCTGCACCCCTGCACCCCTGCACCCCTGCACCCCTGCACCCCTGCAACCCTGCACCCCTGCACCCCTGCACCCCTGCACCCCTCCACCCCTCCACCCCTGCACCCCTCCACCCCTGCACCCCTGCAACCCTGCACCCCTGCACCCCTGCACCCCTGCACCCCTGACCCCTGCACCCCTGCACCCCTGCACCCCTGCACCCCTGCACCCCTGCACCCCTGCACCCCTGCACCCCTGCACCCCTGCACCCCTGCACCCCTGCACCCCTGCACCCCTGCACCCCTGCAACCCTGCACCCCTGCACCCCTGCACCCCTGCACCCCTGCACCCCTCCACCCCTCCACCCCTGCACCCCTCCACCCCTGCACCCCTGCAACCCTGCACCCCTGCACCCCTGCACCCCTGCACCCCTGACCCCTGCACCCCTGCACCCCTGCACCCCTGCACCCCTGCACCCCTGCACCCCTGCACCCCTGCACCCCTGCACCCCTGCACCCCTCCACCCCTGCACCCCTCCACCCCTGCACCCCTCCACCCCTCCACCCCTGCACCCCTCCACCCCTGCACCCCTGCAACCCTGCACCCCTGCACCCCTGCACCCCTGCACCCCTGCACCCCTCCACCCCTCCACCCCTGCACCCCTCCACCCCTGCACCCCTGCAACCCTGCACCCCTGCACCCCTGCACCCCTGCACCCCTGCACCCCTGCACCCCTGCACCCCTGCACCCCTGCACCCCTGCACCCCTGCACCCCTGCACCCCTGCACCCTGCAACCCTGCACCCCTGCACCCCTGCACCCCTGCACCCCTGCACCCCTGCACCCCTGCACCCCTGCACCCCTCCACCCCTGCACCCCTCCACCCCTGCACCCCTCCACCCCTCCACCCCTGCACCCCTCCACCCCTGCACCCCTGCAACCCTGCACCCCTGCACCCCTGCACCCCTGCACCCCTGCACCCCTCCACCCCTCCACCCCTGCACCCCTCCACCCCTGCACCCCTGCAACCCTGCACCCCTGCACCCCTGCACCCCTGCACCCCTGCACCCCTGCACCCCTGCACCCCTGCACCCCTGCAACCCCGCATCCCCCCTAGGATCAAGGATCAGGAGCTAGAGGCGCCCAACACAACCCCAGACGCCATCTCCCTGCAGCGCCTGCTGTCGCAGATGGTGGAGGCGGGGTGCGAGGCGTGCGTGATGGAGGTGTCCTCGCACGCGCTCACCCTGGGGCGAGTGGAGGACATCGACTTTGACGTGGCCGTCTTCACCAACCTCACGCGCGACCATCTGGACTTTCATGGGACCATGGAGGCGTATCGGGATGCCAAGGCCAGGCTGTTTGACGCCATGACGGACCCTACTCGCCACAGGAAGGTGGGATAGGGGGGGGTGCGGTGATGGGTTGGGTGATTGGTGTGGGGTGGTGGTGGGTAGGAGGACTGGTGGGCGGGTGTGGTGGTGGGTGGGCTAATGAATGGGCTGGTGGGTGCTCTAGTTGGTGAGGAACATAGATGACCTTTTCTGGCAGAGAATATCAAAAGAGCAAGTGCGTATCCAACAGCGCAGACCTTGGTCCTTTCTCCCCAGTTCCACCTCCCTACCCCCACCTTCCCACTCCAAACCACTCTCACCCCCCAACCCCCCCCTCCCACCGTCCCCCCTGCCCTTCCCTTGCCCTTGCCCGCCCCTTCCCTTTTCCGCTCCCCATTCCCCCGTGATCTTCCCTGCCCCCCCTTCCCCCCCCTCCCCTCCTCACCCCTCACTCCAGGTGGTGAATCTGGACGACCCCCACGCGTCCTTCTTCATGGCACGTGGCGGGGCAGACGTGCCCTCTTACCCACCTCCCCACTCCTCCCCCCTCTCCCCCCTCCCCACTCTTCCCCCTGCTGCATCCCACCCTCCTCGCGCCCCAGGTGGTGAACCTGGACGACCCCCACGCGTCCTTCTTCATGGCACGTGGCGGGGCAGACGTGCCAGCGGTGACCTTCTCGCTGGAGAACACACAGGCGGACGTGCATGCCCTCGAGGTCGCGCTCTCGCTCTTTGAAACCGAACTGCTCGTGCGCACGCCCCGGGTAAGTAAGGGGGAGATGGAGGATGTGGAGGGGGAGGTGGGGGGTGAAGGGGGCGAGGAGGGGACTTGGCAACCAGTCCCAGGTTGACGTGCATGCCCTCGAGGTCGCCTTCTAGCTCTTTGAGACCGAACTGCTCGTGCGCACGCCCCGGGTGCGTTAAGGATGGGTGGGGTTGAGAGGCGAAGGGAGTGTGCAGGGAGACTCTAGAGGCGCCTCAAGAGAGGTTTGGGGCAGCTCAAGAGATGGAGGGGTTAGGCGGCTTCAGAGAGGGGGATGGCGGGAGGCTGTTTGAGCGCTGGAATGATACTGGTAGAGGCTAAACTATCACCTGTTTCCCTTCTCTTCCCTCTCTCCCCGACAGGGTGGCTTGGAGATCTCCTCAGGCCTTCTCGGTCGTCACAATGTGTCCAACATCCTGGCAGCAGTAGCAGTGGGAATCGCCATCAACGCGTCCTCAGTCCCATCCTCTCCTCCCTCTTGCCCTTCCCTTTCTCCCCGACAGGGCGACCTGGAGGTCTCTTCCGGGCTGCTGGGCCGTCACAACGTGTCCAACATCATGGCAGCAGTAGCCGTTGGAATTGCCATCAACGCGCCCTTAGAAGCCCTCGTGCGCGGGCTGGAGGAGGTGGACGCCGTGCCGGGGCGCGCCGAGCTGGTGGACGAGGAGCAGGCGCCTCTCTTCTTCATCATCCGCCAATGGGAAAAAGACAAGTCAAAGCACGCTCCTACGCCCACTTCACCTCTCTCTCCCTATCCTTCCCATCCTCCCCCTCCCTCTCCCCCCTCCACCACCAACAGGGCGACCTGGAGATCTCTTCCGGGCTGCTGGGCCGCCACAACGTGTCCAACATCCTGGCAGCGGTAGCAGTCGGCATTGCCATCAACGCGCCCTTAGAAGCCCTCGTGCGCGGGCTGGAGGAGGTGGACGCCGTGCCGGGGCGGGCCGAGCTCGTGGACGAGGAGCAGGCGTTTGCTGTGGTGGTGGACTATGCACATACTCCTGATGCGCTCAGTCGCCTGCTGGACACTGTTCGAGAATGCGGTCCGAGGCGAATCATCACAGGTGCGTGGTGGATTGTCACAGGTACAGTTCTTGGCTTTTGGCTTATGGCTGATGGCTGATGTCTGATGGCTGATGGCTGATGGCTGATGGCTGATGGCTGATGGCTGATGGCTGATGGCTGTCTCTTTCTGTTCACCCCTCGGTTCCTTCTTTCCTCTTCCTTCACTTGCTCCTGCCTCGCTTCCTCTCCCCTCGTTTCCTCTCCCATCGTTTCTTCTCCCCTCATTTCCTCTCCCCTCGTTTCCTCTCCCCTCGCTTCCTCTCCCCTCGTTTCCTCTCCCCTCGTTTCCTCTCCCCTCGTTTCCTCTCCCCTCGTTTCCTCTCCCCTCGTTTCCTCCTCACGATTCCTCCCTCACACTTCCTCCCACCAAACCTCCCCACTCTCACCTCAGCCCTTCAACCATATCTCCATCCCCCGTCCTCCCATCTCCGCTCTTCCCTTACCCCCTTCCCACCAACCCACCTCTGCCCGTCTTCTCCCAATCCTGCCACCAGTGGTGGGGTGTGGCGGTGACAGGGACCGGGGCAAGAGGCCGATGATGGCCAAGATAGCAGCGGAGAAGAGCGACGTTACCATACTCACGTCCGACAACCCTCGCACCGAGGACCCCTGTAAGGCGCTTGCTCGTGGGCTCTTTTTTGTACTATTTAGAAAGGAATGGAAAAAGAAACTACCAAACCAGCAAACAAGCAAGCTAAGTAACAGACGAATTAGCGCTTCTCTGGATGGAACTGTTTGGGGAAATGTTCTCCCCTTGCTGCCTCCAGCTTCTCGTCCACACAGCTCTTTGGAAATGTTCCTCTCCCTCCCGCAGTAGCCCTTTGGGTGACTACTCTTCCTCTTCCCCAGGCCTCACGACTCCCTTCCTCCCCCTGTGCTTGCTCTCATGCCTTTCGTTCCACAGTGGGCATACTGGACGACATGCTAGCGGGAGTGGGGTGGAGCATGGAGGAGTACGCTGAGTGTCTTCTCCCTTCGCCCTGCCCTCCACAACCGTTCCTCGCCTTCCCTCACCCATGTGTCCCGCATGCCTCCCTGTCACACAGTGGGCATATTGGACGACATGCTGGCAGGCGTGGGGTGGAGCATGGAGGAGTACATAGAGTACAACCAGGCGGGGTTCATCCCCCCCCTGCCCTCGGGGAACCGCCTCTACGTGTATGACATCCGTGGCATTGCTGTGCGCGCTGCCATCGCCATGGCTGATGATGGCGACGCTGTGGTATGTGCTTGGGGGGGGGGGGGGGGGGGGGGGGGAGGGGAGGGGAGGGTGGGATGGGGAATGGGAGGGAAATGATGGGAGGCGAGGGGAAAGTGTGGGAGGAACGGGAGGAATGGAGGGAGTTGGGAAAGGTGCGGGGTTGGGGAGGGAGGAGAGGGAATGAAGTCAAAGAGGGAAGAGGGGATGTGCAGTGGAGTATGTGGGATTCTGAACATATGAAAGGTTGTTTCTCGGGGAGGAATGACCATCTGACTGTGCTGCCTACTACGCCTGTTGCCCTCACTCACGCACTGAACCCCCACCTTCCCCTTCTCACTTTCACGCACTCGCTCACTCTCTCACACACTCCCTCTCACCGCGTTCACAGGTGGTGGCGGGGAAGGGCCATGAGACGTACCAGATAGTGGGGCAGGAGAAGACGTACTTTGACGACCGGGAGGAGTGCAGAGAGGCGCTGCAGCATGTGGACGAGTTGCGCACGCACTTTGACACCTCGCAGCTGCCCTGGAGGTACAGAACATGCTCCCTCATTACTTGACCTGTCATGTTTTGAGACGTCCCAAAGCTAGCATGTGGGCGAGCTGCGCACCCACTTTGACAACCGCGCAACTGCCGTAGAGGTAAGGGCTCCCTCATTATTATTGTGACCTGTCATGCTTTGAGACGTCCCAAAGCTAGCATGTGGGCAACTGCCCTGGAGGTACGGTAAATGCGCTCCCTCGTTATAGTGTGACCAGTCATGTCATGCTTTGAGACGTCTCAGAACTAGTATGTGGGCGAGCTACGCACCCACTTTGACACCTTGCAACTGCCCTGAAGGTACGGTACATGCTCCCTCATTATTGTGACCTGTCATGCACTGTCCTGCCTGCCGATTTCTTTGATCATGCTAGTGTTCCTGTACCCTTGCAGGCTGTGTGTACGCAGTTCATGTGTCCTGTATAGGTGTACTTATGAAGCTGTTTTTTTTGTGTTCTTGTTGCAGGATTCTTGACATGAGTGACATGAAGGTCATACCCGATCCAGATGCCAATGCATATTAAAAGTGTTGCTGCCATACTTGCTCAGTTTCGCAGAGCAGTTTCATCGAGCCGCAAAGGGTTGCAGGGAAGAGAGCACGTTGTGAAAATGGTATTGCATGAGCCCATGCGCTTGACTGTAGGAGTGCATACCGTTTTAAAGATTGGCTTTAACATGCTGGTGTAGCTTTGATTTTCAACCATCTGGCATTCTAAACATACGGTAGAGATCTAGTCTTGCAAAAACACCCCATCCTAAACCCCATGAGGTGAGACACAGCAGTACTGATACTGTCCAGCACGAGGCTCATCACATCACCAACACTCATGTCAGTACTAATGGTTTGATCTAAAAACTACAAGGGAGGGGCCTTTCTCACTAAAGGCACACTCATGGTTGAGTGTGCCCCTATGCGACACTACAGCACTGCAGTCTAACCTCTCGCCTAATACCGGTAGGGAAAACCCAAACCAACTGATCCTTCAATCGTTCACACTGCGCCTGCTGCCTCCAATAAGGGAACCAACTTCCCTTGGCGATTCAAGGCATCTGTGTCTGTAACGAAGCAGCAGGGTCAGCGGAAGAGAGCAGGTTAAACAATAAACAGACAGCTCCAGCAGAGGCATCAGCAGGAGCAGAAGCTACCGCACTGGCCACATACATACAGAGTGACTATGGTTGAACAGGGTGGACACATAAGGGTGCGGACAGGACTACTTACCATCGCATCCACCAATGTGTTGCTTATTGATGAACACGCTAGGCACAGTGCGTTGACCAGTCATCTGCGCCAGTGCTTGCTGCATCGCAGCTCCCTCGCGATCGTGATCAAGCTCAATTGCCTGTTTTAGACAAGACAACGAGAGGACAGAATGGAGGATACGGAGAGGAGGGGATAAGCAATGTGGGGGAATTAAAAAGCCAGGTGGAGGAACGGTAGCGTTGGCACGAGTGAGCAGAAAATCGCTTAATGAACGGCCATGTGCCATGGTTCTACGGCAATTGACACGTTACCTTGAATTTGGCTTTGAGCTTAGCCAGGATTTGTTTAACGCGGACGCAATACGGACAGTAGGTCTTGCTGCAAGGTCCGAAACGGGAGATGGAAACGGAGGCAACACAAGGATTGAGATTCATGTAACTTGCGAGTTGGATGCGATGTGAACATTCAAGGTCCAATGGATGATGACGGCTAATCAACGGGAGAGGTAAGCACCTGAAGACGACGACAGCGTTCTCCTCGATGATTTGCCTAATGTCTTTCATGGCTGCCGCACAGTTGATCACAACACTGCAGAGCGAGCCGCGATTAACGATGTTGAATTGTTAGACGTCCTGCCAACGGAATCGGCACAAATGTGTGCTGGACTGATAGCAAATCCGAGGAGTTGCAATGATCACAATGGAAGGGTGAACCAGAGTGTGGGCTGATCAAATTAGTGTTGGCAATGGTGGACGAAGGAGACGGAATCGGCACGAATGCAAACAGCTCACCCCGACCGAACTTTCTCGGTGCCAGGGTGAGAAACATCGGTGTTGAGTTCTCTAGAAGGTACCGCGTTTACTGCACACCATTCTCCACCGAATCCAGTTGCGTCACGTCACTTACAAGCAGAGCTGCTGTCACGCATGCATTGCGTGCGGGTAATGCCCTGTGCAAATCTACAAATGGGGTTATCCTGCAATCCGAAGTTTTTGACGAATTCGCGAACACGCGAATGGCCGAAGGCGGAGGTGTTTCAACAATGACCTTAGTTTATTCCGGATCACCTTCCACCGAAGCAAATGGCTGGAAGTTGTGGAAAATCAGGTAATGGACCTTCACGCAGTTATAGCAGCCTTTCAAGGTCTTGCAGACATCGCGAACAATAACGGATCAAACACAATGCGTACAATTCCTGGATTTCATCTTCGAAGCGCGCCGGGTCATCCACCACCATTCATCTCATGTGCATCCTCATCTAACGGCCACGATGCCATGCTGAGTGATCCACCTCGCTTCTTCCGCCTGACTGGCGCCTGCTCTCCCTCTCACCATCACCTCAGCCAGAACCAGCACCCCGCACATAGTTTAGGCAACATCCTTCGCTTTCAGCAAAACAAGGAGGCAGAGCGAGGAAAGGCGTCCTCGCTTGTGAGTGGCCGCGTGAACTGAGGCTTCTTCTAGCGTGAACTCTTATTCTGTTCCGACGTCTCTTCCTCATTCTTTGTTGCGTTTGGAGCATTGTCCATCTTAAACGGGTTTCCCTGTCCCCCAGCCTGAAGATTTACAACCAAAATCATTGCTACATGCCGCATCGACTTCACCGTTCGAGCGATCTTCATCAAGAGGCAGTCACCCCGAAAATGGCCGGGGTTTTCACTCCAATTTCTCCAGAGGTGTCTGCCGACAATGAAGAACGCCAACGTGACGAGGCTCAGCCTGGGGTTTCTGTGGCTGCGGTTCATGAGACGAGGAAAAGCTCGGGGTCTATCGTCCATGTCACGTCGGCTCCTTGCTCGTTGAATTCCTGCGCTGACCCCGCTTCAGGTGGTAAAACCCCGGATTTTTAACGCGGTTTAATATCAGATTTGACGTTACGTTTTCTCTTAGAAGAATGCGTACGGATACTGACGCAAGCTTTGCTTTGTTTCCAGGAAATTCTGGATCTGCCACTGCCATGAACGGCAGTCCCGCGCGAAGGAAAGGACGCGGATTAACAGCGTCGTCAGCAACAATCGAGGAGGTTTTTATACAATTGGATTACGACAACAAAACGCATGAGAATGACTCGGATTTCCATTCCACCATTGCCACCGCTGTTGCTGACGGAGATGATGCGTCCAGCTCGCCGTCGACTCTCCTTGCCAAAGGAAAGATGCAGATGTGCAACGATGTGACTTCGCACGCGCAAGGAGGAGACTCGCAGTCGGCGAGTGAGACGGAAGTGGAGCGGGAGCGTCCTAGTCGGCTTAAGGCTCGGGTGAAGAAGCTGTCTGTGAGCCTGAATCAGGTGAAAACATGCAGATCGATTTGGATCAGGTGTAAACATGCTGCTCGTTTCATTAGATTTTCTAGCGTGATCTCGCATGAATTTCGTAGCATGTGCTACTTATTACGCACATTGATAGATTGATGTGTGTGATGTGTTTCAGCCGCCCCTCCATGTGTGGGAATCCGCGGATCGGAAGACCAAAGCGCAGGTGGTGGCGGCAGCAGCTGCTGCAGCTCGTGTATCCCTCGGTGGTGACAAGGGAAAGCAGATCCACTCAGACAAGGCAGACGCCACGCCTTTGTGAGTTGCGAAACTGATTTTACAAGTCAATAATCAGACCTTTACCAAGTGAATCACTTCGTTTCTTTCTACTGCCAGTGGTTACAAGTGCCAATTGATTGATTTTAATAAATGTGCTGTCGGCTGACTGTGCTGTACAGGGCAAGGTCAGCTAACAGCTCTCCGAAACGCCGTACTCCAGGGTAAGTCGCATTAGCATGGTTTACTGGCCTCTAGGATGCCAGATCCGGAGAGAATGCATAAGAGATACTGATTTAGTTGCCATACTTGGGAGAGAAGGATACGGATATGTGTTAATTCAGCTTAAGAGTAAAACAGATAGTGCATACTTACTTCATTTTCAGTACATCCATGCTATGTACATCTATGTTCTAAAAACAAATCCTTTTGACTTGCTTTTCAGGGGTGGTGGTCGTCGTTCTGTCTTACCATCTCCGCGTTATTTGACACCAAGGTATCTCCCACATGCCGCATCACCTTAACCTCGTCAATTCCTAGCATAATCATACCTAGTCATCTGTCAAACTTCCTCGACTCCTTTTCCATTCCTTCCATGAATGCCATAGTTGCTTTCTCGCACATCTCCCCACTATCCTCTTCTCTCCATCCATCCGTCTACGTGTCAGCATGCGGTCGGGCTTCACCACGCCCAGTGGAGCCCGGTGAGCATTTCACTCGATCTAAGCGTCATCTTTAGTGGACTTCAAACACTTTTGTCTCAAGATTCTTTCTCTCCATGCATCCTTCCATGTCACAGCATGCGGTCGGGCTTCACCACGCCCAGCGGAGCCGCGCGATCAGCAGCAGCAGCGGCAGCAGCAGCGGCTTTCCAGGTGGATCCTATGGTGCTGGAGGCGTGGGACGCGCTGCGCATGTCGCAGGTGCTCTTCCGCGGCCGCCCTGTGGGCACCATCGCCGCACTGGACCCCTCTGAAACGGCTCTTAACTACGACCAGGTGTGTGTGTGGCGGGGGGAAGGGGAGGGGAAAGGGGGGGGGTCTGTCTGTCTTTGTGTTGTTGGCACCAGTGCTTCTCTTTGCTGGCATTGCCAATATGAAACTGTCCTGGATTCTATAAGTCGGGTCCGTTGCAAGATCTTTCAGGATTCCTGATGTATATTTGCGGGATCATTTTTCTGTGCGGATGTCATGGCAGGTGTTCGTGCGTGACTTTGTCCCGAGTGCGCTCGCATTCCTCATGAACGGAGAGGCGGAGATCGTGGAGAATTTCCTGCTCAAGACACTGCGTCTGCAGGTATAACTAGGCAGCACTTCCTACTGTGCACAGGCGCCGCTTCTGACCACACACTGTGTGGGGGCACCAGGGAAGGGCGCCAGTTAAAGACACAAATGGCCTGCAAACCCACTTCTCCTCCAACCAAGAAGGTAATGTGGTTCGTTCTTACCCCCTGTTCCGTGTGGCCTACCTTCCCACCTCTTCCCTACCAACCTGCCACCTGCCAACTGTCGCCTGCCACCTACCTCCTCTCACCTGTGTTCAGCCGGTGGGGTCTTGTGCTTGATTTACTGCAGCAGACCCTGTGGATCTCAACTGCTGCCCCCTGTGCATCCCTGTGCGCGCATTTCCATCTCTTTCTCACCGCAGCAATCCTGGGAGAAGCGAGTGGACGTGTTCACCCTGGGAGAGGGTGTGATGCCGGCGTCGTTCAAGGTGCTGCACGACAGCCGGCGGGGTGTGGACACCATGATGGCTGACTTTGGGGAGAGCGCCATTGGGCGCGTGGCGCCGGTGGATAGTGGCTTCTGGTGGATCATCCTGCTCCGAGCCTATGTCAAGGCCACTGGTGGGCTCTCTCTGAACCTCAGCTCGTGTGCACATTAGCACCTTAGTACTCAAGTACTTCAATGCTCTAGAATTCCAGCATTCCAGCATTCCAGCATGCTCTGATTTGATGATTTTGACTTTTGAGTCGACTCAAAAAGTCACCCAGCATTTCAGCATGCTCTGATTTGATGATTTTGCTTTCACAGCATGTCTTCTTCCTTGGCAGCATGATGTAAATTGGGACTGCATGATGATGCCAACTCGGAAAGAATTAGTGATAACATGACTCAGGATTCTTTATTGACTGATTTGTTATGGATTATGTGCGTGCATGGCAGGTGACCAGTCCCTCGCAGACTCCCCGGACTGCCAGCGAGGCATGCGGCTCATTCTCAGCCTGTGCCTGGCGGACGGGTTCGATACCTTTCCCACACTGCTGTGCGCGGATGGATGCTCCATGATCGATCGCCGCATGGTGAGGCAACCATTTGTCTGAAATTCGCCAAACGTTTATAACTGCTATTTGAATGCATCTGCTATTTGTTTTTGTTGGCAAGTAATCTGTGAAGGTTGTGTTTGGCTGTTTTCGCCTACACTATCAGCTGTCAAGCTTTTGATTACTTCGATACCTCTCATCCTTCCAAATTCACCCATCCGCCTCACTTTCCACACCCAATCCCAGGGCATCCCGCACCCAACCCCATAGCGATACAATTCATGTTCTTCATGGTGCTGCGAGTGGAATACTGCTTTTTGCACCCCGACCTACAAGAGTTCGGCTACTCAAAACTCTCTCCACTCCCTCCCACTGCTCCTTCCGCCCCAGGGCATCTACGGGTACCCCATCGAGATCCAGTCCATGTTCTTCATGGCGCTGCGGGTGGCGCGCTGCCTGCTGCGCCCGGACCTGCCGGAGAACAAGGAGCTGCTGGAGCGCATTGACAAGCGCCTCATGGCCCTCTCCTACCACATGCGCACCTACTTCTGGTGCGTGGGGTGAGGGAGCTTGTGGGGGGCCTTATTGGTGGCTTGGGGGCTTGCTGTTTAGATGCTTAAGCAGGGCGCTGTTTTGCTGGTGTGGGGGGGTCCTGTTTGGTTGCATAGGGGGGGCGCTCTTGCTGGTGTGGGTGGGGGCGTGGTCGTTGCTTCCGGACCTGCCGGAGAACAAGGAGCTACTGGAGCGCATTGGCAAGCGCCTCATGGCTCTCTCCTACCACATGCGCACCTACTTCTGGTCTGCTCGCCCTTCTCCCATTTCCTCCTCTTTGCCTTCTATTTGTATGGTTGATGCTGTTCTCTTCGCTATGTTTGCTCATCGCCATTGCAAGGCTCCTCGTCGCACGTCACCGCTCTTCCCATGCTTCCAGTTTCTTTGAAGTTACTGCCCGCCAGCATATTTTTTCCGGTGGTGCTGCTGGCCCTCTGTACTGCCTGGCTTTTTCTGCCATGCCATGGCTTTTATGCAGGCAGTATCACGAGCAGCTAAACTGCGTGTACCGGTACAAAACTGAGTAAAATTCACCCAAACTTTTCACCCTCCCTTGTTTTGCCCCTTCTTCCTCTGCCCACCCACCTCCTCCTCAGGCTGGATCACGAGCAGCTGAACTGTGTGTACCGGTACAAGACGGAGGAGTATTCACACACGGCAGTGAACAAGTTCAATGTCATTCCAGAGTCCATTCCTGACTGGCTCTTTGACTTCATGCCGCTCAAGGGAGGTTACTTCATCGGGAATGTGTCGCCTGCACGCATGGACTTCAGGTACTTGCGCTGATTTGTCGGTGGACTAATCAGTTGCTTTATTTGTTATTAATCTGTTTCTTTTCCAATACCTTCTGTGGCTCTGTCTTATGACCATGCTCTGCTGTGCCGTGGGTTGCATGCAGGTGGTTCGCCCTTGGGAACTGCATGGCAATCGTATCCTGCATGGCATCACCAGAGCAGGCAGCAGCAATCATGGACCTGATAGAGGAGCGCTGGGACGAGCTGGTGGGCGAGATGCCTCTCAAGATAGCGTATCCTGCTCTCGAGAACCATGACTGGCGGATCACCACTGGCTGCGACCCTAAGAACACCCGATGGAGCTATCACAACGGTGGCTCATGGCCAGGTAGGCAGGCACCCATGTCAGTCTCCACCTGTAATCGGCACTTGAATGTTCCTGACAACACAGGTTAATCTACAACCCACATTGCTCGTTTTCTTGTATTTCCATGCGGCAATGCAGTGCTGATTTGGATGCTCACTGCTGCGAGCATCAAAGTGGGTCGCCCTCACGTGGCTCGGAGGGCCATTGAGGTGATTGAGAAGCGCCTTGCCAAGGACGGCTGGCCTGAGTACTACGATGGGAAGCTGGGTAGGTATGTCGGGAAGCAGGCACGGAAGCAGCAGACCTGGAGCGTGGCAGGTTATCTTGTTGCCAAGATGATGCTAGAGGATCCCAGCCACCTCGGGATTATTGCATTGGAGGAAGAGAAGAAGCTGCAGCAGCCTGCCCTCACACGTTCCCGATCATGGAAGGTGTAATGCATTGGAAATCGCGGGGAGAGAGAAGGTGTTGACGCTGGAATGTGTCAATGTTTGGTGGTGTGGTATCGGTAGCGCAAATTCTTGATGATTTGAACTGGTTGAATCCTGTTTTGGTCTAAATTGAGAGTTCTCTCACCTCACCATCCAATGAAATGAATCTGCAAGGAGGAAGTTGTGGACTGATTGGATGGGGTTCCCGCCACCCGCCCGTCTCTGAACACTTTCTGGCAGATTGCTAGCTTCACATTTACGTGGATGCAATGCTCACAACAGCTGCTACAACTGCTTAGACGCTGTAAACATTGTACCGGTAGTAATGATGATTGATTGACCAATCATGTACTGAACTTTATACTAACAATATAATCAAGCTACCTAGCAGAGTTTGAAACTCTTGAGAGAAGATAGTTACGGTACCGGTTTTACTGATCACCAGATGTTACAGCATACCGGTAGATTGCAGAGATGGAATCCCGCACCTACAGCCAATCTATGACCTGGTGCTACATGTTTTTCCCAGCTCTGACGCTCTGAGTGGCAGCACAAAGAGCCTTGGTGACACTCCCTCCTTGCCGGCCTCCACAAGCAGTGCCACCTCATGGTGTGCCACTGCTGCTCCAGCCACCACCACCAGCACCACCGTCAAGGGGGGTTGAGTCCCCTGGGTGGTGACGGCAAGGTCAGGTAGGAAGGTTGAGCCCCCCAGAGCTCGGCTTGTGTGAGGCGAGAGAGGAGGGCTGAAACCCTCAGGTTGAGGCAAGCACAGGGCAGAGGAGGGCGGCCAGTGCAGCAGGAGGTGCTGCAGGCGCTGGGAGGCCAGAAGCGGCAGCGGCAGCGAGTGGCTGGGCCCACACGCGCTCATCTCTAGCAGCGATGCTGCCAGGGGGAGGAGGCGAGGGGGAAAGGCGGCGAGGGGGGGAGGCGGCGAGGGGGGGAGGCGGCGAGGGGGGGAGGCGGCGAGGGGGGGAGGCGGCGAGGGGGGAAGGGGGGTGTGGGGTGAGAAGAGGGTCGGTGGGGGAAAGAGTGAGGGATGAGAAGGACGGGGTGAGAAGAGGGATGGCGGGTGAGAAGGATGGGGTGTGGAAGGCGGGGAGCGAGTATGAAGAAGCAAGAAAAAGGTCATCTCCTGCACTCCTGGCTCACCATCCCCCCACTCCCGCATCCCCCCACTCCCGCATCCCCCCACTCCCGCATCCCCCCACTCCCGCATCCCCCCACTCCCGCATCCCCCCACTCCCGCATCCCCCCACTCCCGCATCCCCCCACTCCCGCATCCCCCCACTCCCGCATCCCCCCACTCCCGCATCCCCCCACTCCCGCCGCATCCCCCCACTCCCGCATCCCCCCACTCCCGCCGCATCCCCCCACTCCCGCCGCATCCCCCCACTCCCGCATCCCCCCACTCCTGCATCCCCCCACCCACTGCCGCATTCCCCCACCCACTGCCGCATCCCCCCACTGCCGCATTCCCCCCATTTCCTGTGGAGCGCACGAGCAGCACGGAGTGGGGCGAGAGGCGGCAGGGGCGGGCGTAGCAGTAGCAGGCGATGGGTACTAAGGAGAGCGCGCCGCCAGGGAGGAACGAGAGGCCTGCTTGCAAGGGGCCCGTGCCCTCGCCCGCTGCTGCTGCCGCGCTCGCTATCACCGTTGACAGGGAGAGGCTGCAAGGGGGAGAGGGGAAGGGAGGGTGAGCGGAGGGACGGGAGACAGGAGAGGAAAGGAGGGAGACAGGAGAGGGAAGTCTAGACGGAGGGAGAGTTGAGTGCGTGTGAACCGTGAAGCGTGGTTACATATCCTAGAGCGCATGAGCACGTGTAGCAAGGGCGTAAACGCGTACTGAGAAACCGAGAAAGCAAACCGTAAAGCGGGTACTGGTGCACGTGAAACGGATCACGGCTAGTAACGCGTACAGCGGGTACTGGTGCACGTGGAAGGCTAGTAACGTGTACAGCGGGTACTGGTGCACGTGGAAGGCTAGTAACGCGTACAGCGGGTACTGGTGCACGTGGAAGGCTAGTAACGCGTACAGCGGGTACTGGTGCACGTGGAAGGCGCGCTGGCCGATGGTGACGACGAGGTCGCTCGCCATGCCCGCCACTTGCGGCACTCCGGCTCGCCCTCGTGCGACAGCAGCGACGCCCTCGCGTCGTCGCAGCCCTCGTCGCCCATCGCGCGCGTCGTCGGAGGGAGCAGACGAGGGGGGGGCGCGCGGAAAGAGTCGGCGCGGAAAGAGTCGGCGCGGAAAGAATCGGCGCGGAAAAATCGGCGAGGAGTAAACGGCGCGAAGGGAACAGCGGCGAGGCACGGGGGAGGGCTCTCTGCTGCTGCCTGGTGCTCTCTCTTGCTCTCCTGCAGTCTGCTGCTGTGTGCCGCTACGCGTTTCCTACGCGCAGCGGAGATTTAGAGAACTAAGGCCGCTGGAACAACCACCGTTGGAACCAAGGTTGTCCAGAGGATGATCGTTGGATGTCAAGAGAGATTAAGATGCAAATCGACGCTCAGACAAAGCGGACGCTTCCACTCGATGCTCCACCCCGCTATCAGTTTGTCGAGCAGTACAATGCGAAAACTGCGTAACGCGAACACGAAGAAATCAGGGCAGCGATACACACGGCGACGCTTCCGATCACCCTCTCCCTTCCCGCGACGACGATAGAATAGTCCTTCGTTGAAAACGCTGGCCGCGCTGCGAGGAATGGATGAACGGCTCCGATTGTACCGATCGAGGTCGCAGAGGCGGATTCTCTCGCGTGTAACGCGCAGATGCTGCTCCCGCGAAGCAGCAGGCAATGGCTGGTTGTACCACCCGACCGGCCCGAACTCGCCATGGCATCGCTGCGCTCTGCGGTGCGATGGGATAGCAGCATCGACATTCCCGACGCTTCGGCTTCGACTAAATCGACGCGACGCGAGCCGAGCGGACCTCTGCTTTCACTCACGTTCTCGCCTTGGAATGGGAATGGGATGAGGATTTCCGCTCGAAGAGATGCGATGCGACGGACATGAATCGCACCAACTTCAAGGTTGTTGGGATGAGGTGTCGTCTGCCTGATTGTTCACTGGTTCGTTACTTGGGCGGAGCCGAGACCAGATAGGTAAAAGCCAAGGGAGAGTTTCGAAAGAGTGCACTGCACTTCAATGCGGTGACATGCGATTTCGTGCCTTTCCGACGTACTCTTCGAGGTTTTCCAGCAATGCCTCATGATGTGATGATTGAGAATCTGGATTGCAAGTCTGCATTTTTAATGATACAGACCAGAGAACACAGGACTTTATATGTTTGCAGAATTTCGTTTTTTCCTAGGAATACTTCAACAGACACTTCTCAGATTGACATTCTACGCCCTATCCAGAGTACTAGTATCGCTACACTAGAGTACTTTCTTATAAAAATGGAATAATATTCTATCAATGTATTTGTCTAATCCTATCAACCACAGGTCCACAGCTACTCCATGGCAGCATGCCATCCATGCCCACCCCGGCATGGACTGGCAGTGTACTGCACAGGCAGAGAGGAAGGCTGCGCATTGAGCATTGCCAGGACCAAGACGTGCGGGTGCCCTACTAGGGACTGGCTCTGCTCACCCCCACCTCCACCAAATGACATCACTGCTGGCCAGACAGTTTTGTCACTTGGTGGGGGCGGGAGGGGACAGAACCAGTCCGGTTCGGCCCGGAATCGAGTCCCCAGCCAATGCTCAAAGCTTCAACCCTTCTCATGCACTGGCAAGGCCACCACTGAGACTGCCATCCTTGCTGCCAATGAAGGCATCTGCAGGCAGAGAAAACCAAGAAAGAGGGATATTAGTACAGGCTAAAAAAAAAAAGCAAGCAAATCAGCAAACAAAAATCAGGAGCTGGCTACTGCAAAAACGAACCATGTGCATAAAAAAAGGCGCTCGAAGGCAAGGGCTGGAACTTATCTTTGGTTAAGGAGCTTGGAGTGTGGAATGCTGCGCAAGGTCTTGGGAGCATGCAGAGGGCGCTTGGAGAACCTGCGATGAAGCGAAATAAAACAAGTCAATGATTGGGGACTTGAAGCACAAATTGAAAAAAAAAAACAAGGAATCAGCAAGCCTGAAATTACCAGTGAAGGAGCATTGGAGCGAGAAAGCAAGGGAAAACGCTGGGGTTGGCGACTTATCTTTCCATGGTTGTTGAGCCTTGAGGTGCCTCAGCAGGCCATGGTGCTCCCATGGATCTTGACTTGGGCATGTCGAAATCCGTTGGTGAAGCAACCTGCCAAGTGAAGTCAGGAGATCCGAGTTAGTAAGGCAAAAACGAACCAACATGCAGCAAGTTACTAAAACGAAGAGTAAAAAGAGACTTACTGCTGGTGGAGAGAGAAAAGGCACCTCCCAGGTGCTGTTGGCAGATACGTTCACCCCGCCTTGGAGCTTAGAAGTGCTGTTCTCCTCTGAGCTCATCTGGACCGTGACTGAAGAGCCTTAGATAGAGCCTGCACATAGATCAAAGGAACTAGGTTAGTGAACAACAGTGAACTGAGCATGAATTAAGCGTTGCAAGTGAGCCCGTGTACCAACTAAAAAACCTCAACCTTAAAGGGACCTTAACCTAACCTCAACCTGTACCAGGGGGGGGGTGGTTCTATAAAGTGTGAAGGGTGTGAAGAGGCTGGAATTGACAACTTATCTTGCCATCATTGTTGAGCCTTGAAACGCCTCATCAGGCCATGATGCTCCCATAAAACTTGGCCATGCTGAAACTCCTTGGTAAAGCAACCTGCCAAGTAAAGGCATGGAAAAATAAGTTAAAAAAATCAACAGACAAAAACGATCCACCATGCAGCAATTAAATTAAAAGGACTTACTGCTGGTGGACAGAGAAGATGCACCTGCCAGGTGCTGTTGGCAGGTACGTTCACCCTGCATTGGAGCTTGAAAGTGTCAAACATACTTGTATGATTATAATTGGGTAGGCTGTAGTGGGGTTAGCCTTAGAGGGTACAAAGAAACAACCTCGTCACTCTAGTCTTGTACCCTAATCTCCACCTAATCCACCCTCACTCTTGCCTTAGTTCTTAACATGGTAACTAGAGAAGGAGGTCTCTAGGACCTAAGAATCGGGCCCACCTAACTGCCTGCCTTGCCTACTGCCCGCGCGCGCCTTGGCTGCAGCGCGCGTCACTTTTTTTTTTCGTGCGCGCCTCGCCTACTAGCGCGCGCGCCACTGTTTTTAGCGCGCGCCACTGCTGTAGCGCCGCGCGCCGGCCCGCGTCGCCCGCGCAGCCCGGGTAGAGCCCGCGTAGAGCCCGCGCAGTCCGACGCCGCACGCAGCCTGCCCTCGTGTGCAGCCCGCCGTCGCCCCGCGTGCCGCGTCTGTCGCCAGCGCGGCCCGCCGCTGCGCCGCGCGTCGCGTCGGCCGCCTGCGCGGCCCGCAGCTGCTTAGCGCGCTGCCTTAGGAGCTCGCGTGCGGCCGCTCCTGCCTGCTGCCTGCTGTCTCCTGCCTGCTGCCTGCTACCTCGGTCTTTGCTTGTGGCCTGGTGCCTACTGCCTCCTTGTCTGCTGCCTCCTGCCTCTGCCTGCTGCCATTATGACGACGCCTAACGTTCTCGCGTTCGAGCCTGACGGTCGCCCCATAGAGTTCACTGTGTGGTTAGATGATCTCCAACTGTTCCTTCTGACCGATGCCAAAGAGGGTGTTTCACTGTTCGATTACGTGTCTGGCACTGCCGTTGCTCCTGCTGCCGATGCTCCTGCTCTCGAACGCTCGCAATGGCAAACTCGTGATGCTGCTGCACGCCTAGCTATTAGGAACCATCTGCCGATTACTGAGCGCGCGCATTTCAGCCAGCACAAAACTGCTAAGAAGCTGTACGACGCTGTAGTTGCGCGCTACTCCTCCCCGGCCACTGCAGCCATAGGTCGGCTCATGCTACCCTACCTGTTCCCCGACCTTTCCTCGTTCACCACTGCTGAGGACCTCATTTCCCACCTGCGCGCTACTGACACTCGCTTTCGTGCCGCCCTTTCAGCCGAGTTCTGCGCCGCTAACCCCCCCCCCCCCCCCCCCCGATGTACTTCACTCTCTATTTCCTCGTCACCCGCCTCCCTGACACTCTTAGCTCAGTCAAGGACCACTTCCTCGCGCTAGACCCCCCCACTCTCACTGTCGACGACTTCGAGAAGCACCTCCTCTCAGCAGAAAAGAACATCCTCGCTGTAGGTGCTGCTCGTGGCACTCCTCGCTCTCCCCTCTTTGAGGGGTGCTCCCCCTCCCCTCTCACCCCCTCCTACGCCTCCGCAGCTGCTGCTCACGACTACCTTGGTGCTGAGGAGGTCGGAGCTGCTTCCGCTCCTAGTGGGAAGCGTCGCAGCGGCAGGGGCGGCAGGGGTGGCAGGGGCGGTGGGGGTGGCGGTGGAGGTGGCAGTAGTGCAAGCGGCGGGGGAGGTGGAGGTGGTGGGGGTAGTCGTGGGGGTGGAGGCGGTGGAGGTGGTGGTGGGGGCGGCGGAGGCACTGGGAGCGGTGGAGGGGGTAGCAGCGGCGGTGGGGGAGGAGGGAGCGGTGGTGGTAGTGGTGGTCAGGGCCAGCAGCAGCCGCAGCAGCAGCAGCAGCAGCAGCGTCAGCGCCAGACCCCCACTTCCCAGCAGCTTCTTGGCGGGGCTTCTGGGGGTCCTGGTCGCTGCCCCTATATCATTCGCACAGGTCCCCGCACTGGTCGCCAGTGCACAGGTTATCACACTGAGCAGCGCTGCTTCGCTCGACTTAGCGACGCCTGGCGCGCCAAGTTTCCTGATGCTACTGAGTTCCCCAACCGGGCAGAGCTACTTAGGCGTAATGTACCTATCTTTGATCTTGACTATGAGGCTATTCTTGCTGCTATGTATGCATTGTCTGTTAGTGCTGAGGGTGACTGCTACTTGTGTGTGCCGCCGGATCCTGGTATAGTCCCTGGTATAGCGCCTTCAGCACTAGGTGCTTGTAAGTCTGCTCCCCCTAGTACCGCGCCTGCACAGGCCTTGCACACTTTTACACTTGACTCTGGTGCTTCCCGCTGTTTCTTTCGCGACAGTACCAGAGTCACTCCCCTTCCTGCACCTGTTCCTGTCTCACTGGCTGACCCCT